GTGTTCCACTAAGAATCTTACATAAGGAGAAAAGGAACATTCTCTTGACCTACAGATTGGCCAAGTGAGGAGTATACTGGAAGAGAGCTAACATCTACCGTGTCTCCCATTACCATCAAGCTCATGTAGGTTCTGGTTTTATTGTTTTTTTTTTTTTTTTTGGGGGGGTGGTTTTTGTTTTCTTGTGGTTCTGAGGTTTGAACTCAGGGCTTTGTGCTTACCAAGCAGGTGCTTTACCACTTGAGCCACTCCACCAGCCCTAGGTCCTGTATTAACTTGTACCAACAGATTCCTGTAAGAAGCCATTCAGATTTGCCACAGCAGGGAAGAAGTGTCCCTGTCTCTACTGTGCATACATATCACACCTATGGATCTTGCTAAAGTACAGATTCTGATTTGGTGGTTCCAGGTTATGCCACTGTTGCAAGTCATGCATCACACTTGTAGTAATGAGGATCTACGGGTCACCATGTGCCAGAGCTGAGAAGGGCCCTTACCAAACAGCATCTCAACTAGGAATCAGGATCTGGTCATCTACTCTGAGAGAGCAGAGACTTGTTTTTGTCAATGCCTTGAGAGACAAAGAATTACAACAGTAAAAGGGCACATGAAGGCTGATACATTCATTTTTTAGAGTAAACTCTAACTGCACAGACTAAAGTACTGGCATTTCTTACTGCAGGCACTGCTAATACCTCAAACTAATCCCTCTTTAATAATGTAGAGAAATGGAGTTTCTGGACCTGCAAACCTTAAGGATCAGGCCCACACTAGAGCAATGTCCTCAAGATAGTACTGCTCTGTAAGCCTGGGCGGACAGCTGTCATCCTTGATCTGTTAACTCTACCTACAACAAGCAGAAAACCCAATGCTGTAGATTAGAAGGCAAGTGATAAAAAACACAATGCAAATAAAATCTAAAAATGAATAAACAGAACTTACGTTTTTATTTATTTGTTTTCAGTGGTGAGAACCTAATTATCAACCACCAAAGATAAGAGTATGTCCACGAGTGCAATGTTCTATTTCCCTGACCTCAGTATACAGGACCTAGAAATACCTCTGATGCATAATAATGTTTACTGAGAAATGACCAAATGAATATTTAAGGAAAGTGGGAGTTAATTTATTTGGTATTTACATCTTAGTACCCAGGATTCCAGGGAGCTACAAAGAACAATTCTTAATGATTTCAACATCAGGACTGGGCTATAAACATTATCTGATTTCCTGAACCCAACCAAACATCTTTCTAGTTTTTAACTTATTCAAACAGAAATAAGAGACAACCCTTACATTCCTACACAGAACTTCCTTTTCTCTGAAAACAGAGCGTAGGGCCTAAACTTAACCACAGAGGAAAAACTGCAATATGTTGGCAGTTGTTTTGACAGAATTAGTCTTCTTTCTAAATGTTCATAGGCATGATTTCTTTTCTTTTCTTCTTTTGGGTGGCATTGGAGTTTGAACTCTAAGCCTCATGCTTGCCAGGCAGGCATTCTTAAGGCTTTGGCTACTCCACCACCCCTTTTCTTGTGGTAGGTTTTTTCCAAGATAGGGTCTCACAAACTATTTGTCTGGGCTGGCTTCAAATGGCGATCCTCCTGGTCTCTGGCTCAAGTAGCTAGGATTACAGGTGTGAGCCACTGACACCCAGCTAGGCATGATTTCTTTTTTTTTTGTCTTTTCTTTTTTGGTGCTGGGATCGAACCCAGGGCCTCGCACATGTTAGGCAAGCACTGTACCACCGAGCTACATCCCAGCCCGGCATAATTTCTTAACATAAGACAAATTTCTTGAGATTTTTAAATGTAAGAAAACAAAAACAAAGATAAAAAGTAGTCCAAGAACTTCTGAAAAGATTAAACAAGCCTTAAACAAAAAAAAAAAAATTACCATGTGATCCAGTAATTAGTAGCTATATTCTAAAAAATAAATAAAGTAATAAAAAGATGCCCCCACAAAAAGTTGCACAGAGCGTAACTGGAGTGGGTCAGGCAGTACGAGCGCCTGCTTAGCAAGCATGAGGCCCTGAGTTCAAACCCCAGTGCCAACAAAAAGAAAGAAAAGTACAGATGTTCACAGCAGTATTATTCATATAATCAAATGTCAAACGTCTAACCTGATGAAAAGATAAATAAAATGTGATATATACGAATCACAAATATTATTCAGCCATGAAAGAACTGGAGTACTGATACATACTACTACATAGATGGACTTTGGAAATATATGCTAAGTCAGAGAAGTCAGTCATGAGCAGTTATATACTGCCTGATTCCATTTCTGTGAAATGCCCAGAATAGGCAAATCAATAGAAACAGAAAGCAGTTTAGTAGGCTAGTGACAGCAATAGCCCAGAGGTATGGAATTTTTCTGGGAAATGATGAAAATATTCTAGAATTAGTCAATCATGATGGCTGAACAATTTTGCAAACTACACTAAAAAACACATTGAATTGTACACTTTAAAACATGAGTTTTATGGTATGTAAATTATATCTCAATTTTTAAAAATCAGGGGCTTTGGGTGTAGCTCAGTGGTAAAGCACAGCCTAGCAACCCCAGCAATACACACACATACTCACACACACACAAATCACATGCCAGAGGAAATAAAATCAGCAAGTAAAAAATACAAAGAGTAGCAAACCTTCTCTCTGGTCTTTTTATCTTTCCTCATATAAAATCTGACTAAAAACAATGAATTTTATGTAGCAAATCTGAAAATAACTGGAACTCTAAAAATATCCTAACCACCAAACAAAAGCAGCTGCTCATTTTAAAAATATTTTTGTGACATACACCTTTCTTAAAATGCAACCCTAAAGTCTGGGGGTATAGCTCATTGGTAAAATGCCTGCTTACCATGCACAAAGCCCTGAGTTCATACCCAGCACAACAACAAAATGCAAGTTGACAGAAGCAGGAGAACGCTGAGTTTGAGACTAGCCTGGGTTACACAGAGAAACCCTGTCTTAAAAAAACTAAAAAGAGAAAAAAAGTAAGTTGGCAGAGGTCTTATTCTACAAATTCAAACATGCACAATCAAGTAGACCTAGTTGTTGTAACTGACACTGGCACAAAACACATTCCTGCTGGCAAAAGAGAACTAACTACACTATTACTCAGTGTACTCAGAAGGCAATGTCATCAGAAATCTAACGGGGATGGATGTGCTTTTAGTATTTTCTGTCTTAAGCGTGAGACAATGGCCTTCAAAAACAAAACGAAAAACCTCCACATTAAATCACACTAAGTTGTAGGAAGTATGTTCTGTATTTAAATTACTGGATACAAAATAGGTTGGGGTTATAGCTAGAAGCAGAGTAAGTTGCCTAGTATGTGGGAAGGCCCTGGGTTCAATCCCCATAATAAACAAACAAACAAACAAACAAATAGAACAGAGGTTTAGTTCGTTGTTGTGTTTGCAGTGCTGGAGATGGAAGCCAGGGCCCCTGCATGCTAAGCAGGCACTCTATCACTGAGCCATACCCCCAACCTTAGGTCTGGATATTGAACACTAAACTACCTAAGATGGAAATCACACTAATTTTTTTTAATGCATCCAATATCACATGAGAAATTAATCAGTACCACTCCCAGGCACCAACCTCATTCTTTTAATGCCAACTCTACTGCTTCTTAATTGCTGACACAGAATTAAATAATAGTCATGCTCATGTATTAAATATTTTAACTGGCTGAAACATTAGTCATATATTGAGAGGTATTTTACTTTTTTTTTTTTAAACAATGTCCTAGGTTTAGAACCTTTACTTCAAAATAGCAGAAGGAATAATGTGGATGTTTTCAGAAGGAAATCTAGATGAGTGTATTGGAAGGCCTTGGAAAGTAATCACCAAATCAAGATAATCATACTTAGATTCTGCTCCCAGTTTTTGCTACTATAATAAAAATGATGTGTGGCCTGCACCAGCTCTACAAAGATTTTAAAATAACCCAAAGCATGCTGAATATTCTTAGTGTTAACAATATTCAAACACACTGTTATCACAGCACTCCTGTACCATTTTCAGATTCTATGCAGCACGGGAGTTACTAGTATGACAATATATATTGATATCAAATGAGACTTAGAGAAATTCAGATGGAATCCTATTTACTCCAAAAACATTTATGTTAAATAGTGGCCTGAGGATGATTTGTCCTATCACACATTAGCAGTGGGTTATATCCTTTTCTGTATATCTTTGAGGGTGCAGAGAAACCATGTGTCTTTCCCATATCCTTGATAACCCTTTCCCCACGGAACAGATAACTGCACCACTTGAAGGTATATTTAGCTTCTCCTTTCAGCACTCCTCTCTTTAAATCTGTTTTTCCATTTCTCTTCGCCTTTGTGTACCCTCCCTCAAGCATTCCATTTTCCTTCTTCTGCCCTTCCAGCAACCTTCATCTTAAATTCTAAACCACCTAAGAGATTACTCTAAGTGATTTTTTAATGCATTCAAGATCATATGAGATATTCCAACATTAACCCCATTCATTTAGCATTATGGCTACCGCTTCTCAGTCTCTCCCTCTCCCTCTTTCTCTGCTTCGTTCTCCTCTCCCAGTATCTATTTTTTCTGCACTTCTATCTCTCTGCAGGTCACTGCCCCACATTTTCCTCAGGACCTACAAAGTGAATCTCATCTACTGCAGGTTTTCCCCAACAATCCCCACTCCTCCAACTCTCTTCAATCATCACAACCCCCAGTGGTCCATCACCCCTCGAATTTTGCAGTGGCGGCTCCACAGTCCCTCAACTGCCCGGCACGGTGCTGCGAACGCTCCCCACACACTTCCTCGATCCCCGAAACTTGTCTTCCTCTAAGACTCCCCAGCTTCCACTTCCCTGTTACCAGACCCTGCGAGGTCTCCGTCCACCTTCGGCGCCTCTTCCTGTCTCTCTATGGTTTTCGGACGCTCCCTCACTGTCGGTGCCCACCGCCCGGACCCCGCGCCCTCCCGGGCCCACAGCCCGGCCCTCCGACCTGCCTCTGCGCCTCCCGCAGCCCCTGCAACCGCTGGCCCAGCTCCCGCCGGTAGCTCTGCGCCGCCTCCACGTTCTCACGGGCCTCCTGCAGCAGTAGCTCGGGCTCCAGCTCCATCGCGCCTCTCATCCGGCCGCGCGGCCGGCGACTGAGGCGCGGGTTCACTGAGCCCGGCGCGGGCGAGCGGCGCTGCCTCACGCAGGCGGAAGCGCCGCTATGCCACGCCTTGCCTGTCAGGCCACGCCCCCGTCACTGCGCCTTGATTGACAGTCGCGCGGCGGCACCTACCCCTAATCCCCACCCCCCAACCCCCATCCCCGGGTACTGCTCTCAATGCCTGGCCCGCCTGACTTAGCTGCTCTGCGGTGCAGCGCAGGGGCCGCGGTACTTCCCCAGGAAACTACCCGCGGCATAGCGAGATAGCACGAGTTCTTCGCTAAGTGCTTCCCATATCTTATCTCATTTACAGCCCAACTTTTATCTCCACGGTACAGAGGAGGAAGCTGAGAGGAGAATACACTTTCCAAACTCAGCGTTTCAGCCCAGAATTAAGGCCACACACCCTGGCCCTTAAATCGTCACTGTACTACCTCCATAGTAAATGAGAAATGATGACCAGAGAACAGCAATCCTAGCAGAAGTCCAGGGCCGGTAAGGGTCAGGTAGTATTTTCGGCCTGATGGGCAAGTCTGTTGCAATATAGTAAGTAAATGGGTGTGACCGTGTGAAATATAACCTGTGAGCCCAGCAGGGTGGCTCATGCCTGTAGTCCCAGCTACTGAAGAGGCTGAGGCAGGAGGATCCTTTGAGTCTATGAATTCCCGGGCCAGCCTGGGCAGCACGACAAAATCTGGTCTTAAAAAATAAAACAAACTTGGTAGGTAAGGGAGGGGGCGGTGGGGGAAGGGGGTAGAAATGTCCCAAACATTGTATGCACATATGAATAAAAGAAAAAAAATAAAAATAAAACAAACTTTATGGACACTGAAATTTGAATATTACATAATTTTCACATGTTAAAAAACAGTCTTTGGATTTTTTTCCCCCTATTTTATTATTTCTTTATTTGGCAGTACTGGGACTTGAGCTCAGGGTCTACACATTGAGCCACGCCACCAGTCCTTTTTTGTGATGGGTTTTTTTCAAGATAGGGTCTCACAAACTATTTGCTTACTATCTCTTGATCGCTGCCTCCTGAGTAGCTGGATTACAGGCAAGAGCCACTGGCACCCGGCCTCCCCAACTATTTTAAAAGGTAAAAATGATTCATTGAAAATTCATACCTGGAGGGGGTGAACTCAACTATGAAATATTGTAAGAAATATGGTAAATGTCACAACGGACCCCCAGTACAACTGTAAGGAAGAGGGGAGGGAGGGAAGGAAGGCAAAAAGGAAGGAAGGAAGGAAGGAAAGAGGGAAGGAAGGGAAAGGAAAGGGAAGGAAGGAAAAGGAAAGGATGGAAGGAAGGAAGGAAGGAAAACTCATGCAAAAATAGGCAACAGGTTGTAATTTGGCCTCTGGACCACAGCTTGGTGACCTCCCTCACCCAGGATGTTAGAGCTGAAGGTTGCCTCAGCCAGGAGCAGATACTGATCCTGATCACATTGTTTTGTGATAAGAAAATGACACTTGGAACTAGAGAAAATTAGAAAGGAAGCCCTTTTGGAAAAAATGAGAAGTTGGATTTATCCTGAAAATAAGGCAGCTTGGCCCTTAAAAGGTAGCCAGAATCTGTGAATAAAGGTATTATTAACCAAACAGAAAAGATTAGGAAAAGATCCCCCAGGTAGAACAGAGTGGAGAGAGGGAGAGAAAAAACTTGGAGAGAAGAATATAAGAGACTGATGAATATGTAGACCAGTGTGGATAGAGAGGTAGAACTGAATAATAGGTTGGGAGGTGAAGTTGAAAGATTAAGGATCTTGGAGCTCAGGTTAAGAAGTGTTGTTTTAGCCAGGCTGCAGTGGCACATGCCTATAATCCTAGCTACTCTGGAGACAGAGATGAGGAGGATCACAGTTCAAAGTCAGCCTGGACAAATCACACTAATTGGGAAAAACCCAATACAGAACAGGACTTGTGGGGTGACTCAAGCAGTAGAAGGCCTGCCTAGCAAGTTCGAGGCCCTGAGTTCAAACCACAGTACTGCAAAAAAAAAAAAAAAAGATAGAAAATGGCATCTTTTGCTTTTTCACTATGTACAGACAACAATGTATCATTGAAACACACACACACACACACACACACACACGCACCAGGAAGTTGAGATTTGGCTGCTCACTGTAACTTTTGTAACTGTAAGCTACCATGTCTGCTTTTATAAACTGACAATCAGGTAAATGTCTTCCTCAAAGTGCTAATGTAAAGGATGAATTATGTAGTTGTGCAAAAAGCACACATTTGCATAAAAAATGTTTAAAGAGCACAAGAAATATGTCTGGGTCTGTGCTAGCTGCTGGGAATCAAAACAGAAATGAGCCTCCTACTTGTCTTCACAGGCCAGTATGTGTTGGGGGGAAGGGGGAACACAATGATACATAAATAAGCAGGAATTTATAATATAATGCACTGAGTGCAATAGAAATACAGAGACCTGCCACAAAAATTTAACCTGAGGCAAAGTAGATGGATGCAGGTATCAGAGGTTTCTTGGACAAACTGAACTCCAAGTTGAATCTTAAATTTGTTTCTTGTTGACTACATATGTTTATCTCCTGTCTCTTCCAAAACCCTGTCAAACAATAGTACAGGAATTTAAAGATTAGATTAAGGAACAAGAGAGACACCAGAGAACAGGAGAAGGCACAAAAGCACACCAGAGTGGTCTGCCAATATTTGGAATTTGGAAAACAGATACAGGAGTAGTAATGGCCCAAGTCAAGCAAAGGAGGTTGCTTCCTCAGCTGCAGAGAGGTACCAGTCAGAATTGGGCCAACTTCTCTAGAGATGCTAGAGACACTCAGTTTAGAAGGCCCCAGATATAATCTCAGCCACATTTAAAGCATGCAATCTTCATCTTTTCCTTATCCGACTTCCCGCATTATTTTCTCCTCAGTATTTATCCTTGCCTATCATAGCATATATTTTACTTATTTGTCATTTGTATCACTGTATCATCCAACTAGAATATAAACTTCAACAAGATAGGAATTTTTATCTGTTTTTTCACAGATACTTTGTTGACAGCTGGCACATACCTAGTACTCAATAATATTTGTGGAATGGATGGATGCATGGATGGATGAATGCTATAGAAGATAATGAAAGGGTGTGGGGTCATAACTGAAGTATCAGGCACTGGGTTCAATCCCCAATACAGAAAAAAAAATTGGGAGCTGGGATATAGCTCAGTGGTAGGGTGCTTGCCTAGCATGCACAAGACTGTTGGTTTGATCCCAGCAGCAAAAAAGAAAAGACAGAAAAAAAAATTGGAGGAGAAATTGAATGTCTGTAGAGCAAAGGCCACTCATGCAGAAAAACAGAAACCAGCTTTTAAAATACTTTGTTGTTTATTTAACATAATTTCTTTTGAGTCAGGGTCTACAAGTAACCAAGGCTGGCCTTCAACTTCAGATCCTCCTGCCTCAGCCATCAGAGTACAGGGATAATAGGTGTGCATTACCGTGTCCAGTTTTTTTTTAATATAGCATTATTGAATATAACTGATTTGAAATGAATTGTATATATTTAAAATATACAATGTGATGAACTTTTACATGAACCTATACCTGTTAAACCATCACCATAATCAAGATAATGAACATTTCTGTCTTTCACCTAAAGAGTTTCTTGTTATCTATTCCTGGGTCCCTGAACCCAGGCAACACTGCACTGCTCTGCTTTATGTCATTAGAGATTACTTTTTGTTGTCTAGAATTTTGCATAAGTAAATTTTGCATAAATTTTATTTACATAAATAGAATCAGACAGTATATACTCTTTTTCATCTGGCTTCTTTACCCGTAATAATTTGGTGGAGTTTTACCATGTTGTCCAGACTGGTCTTGAACTTGGAGATCAAGTGATCCTTCTGCTTCAGTCTCTTGAGTAGCTGGGACTACAGATGTGTACCACTATGCCAGTCATTATAATAAAGATTTTGAGATATACCCATGTCGTTACCTGTATTACATGTTCTTTAGGGATGGAGCCCAGGGCCTTCCTCACACTAGGCCAGTACTCTACCACTGAGCTATAGCCCCAGCCCTCATTTCTTTTTGTTGCTGGGCAGGATTTCATTGTATAGGTGTACTACAATGTGTCTTTTCTGTTTTTTTTTTTTTTTAAACTGGGCTCACTATGTAGCCTAGGCTAGCCTCCCTAAAACTTATGATCCTCCTACCCCAGCCTCCCACGTGCTGGGATTACAAGTGTCCAGCACTATACCCAGTTCCACAATGTGCTTATTAAACTTTATGTTGAAAGGCTGGGAGGAGAAGTATGGAGGATGGTGTTCTAGGGAGTTAAATTCTTAACCACCATGACAGGGCTTTAATAAATACTGTTTGAGTTTTTTGTGTGTGTGCAGTACTAGAGTTTGAACTCAGGGCCTACATCTTGAGCCAGTCTACTAGCCCCTTTTGTGTGTGTGTGTGTGTGTGTGTGTGTGTGTGTATTTTGTTTTTCGAGATAGGGTCTCTTGAACTATTTGCCCACGGCTGGCTTCAAATTGTGATCTTCCTGATCTCTGCCTCCTGAGTAGCTAGGATTACAGGTGTGAGCCACTGGCACCCGGCTCTGTTTGAGACTGTTAAGTCATGGATAGGTATATATATCAGTGGTAGCGTGCTTGTTTAGCATGACCAAGGCCCAGGGCTTCATCTCCAGCAGTGCAAAACAATGGTAACAGTTGTACAATAAAAAAATAGCTGGCTGGGTGCTAGTGGCTCACGCCTGTAATCCTAGCTACTCAAGAGGCAGAGATCAGGAGGATATCAGTTCGAAGCCAGCCTAGGCAAATAGTTCTGTGAGACCCTATCTTGAAAAACCCTTCACAAAAATGGGGCTGGTGGAGTGGCTCAAGGTGAAGCCCCTGAGTTCAAGACCCAGTACCACAAAAAAATTAATAATTAATACATTTATTAGCTGCATAAATGTATTACAGTATTTAAAAATAAGGAGTGGAAGGCTGGAGCAAGAGGAAGGTCCTGAGTTCAAGCCCCAGTATTGCCAAAGACCCTGAGTTTGATCCCCATTACTACAAGCAGAAAAACAAATAAAAATAAGGAGCTGGTGGCTCACACCTGTGATCCTAGCTATTTGGGAGGCTGAGATTGGGAGGACCATGGTTTGGGGCCAGCCTGGCAGATAGTTCATGAGACCCCCTGCCATCTCTAAAAACAACCAGAGCAAAATGGACTGGGGATGTGGCTCAAGTGGTAAAGTACCTGCTAGTGGGAAGCCCTGAGTTCAAACCCCAGTCCCACCAAAAGAAAAAAAAAATTATGTAAAAGTATTTAAAAAGAGAAATGACCAAAGCCTTGTATGCACATATGAATAATAAAATTTAAAAAAAAGTATTTAAAAAGTTTTGACCAATTGGAGAACATCGTTCTGAGTGAGGTTAGCTTGGCCCAAAAGATCAAAAATCGTATGTTCTCCCTCATATGTGGACATTAGATCAAGGGCAAACACAACAAGGGGATTGGACTTTGATCTCATGATAAGGCGAGAACACACAAGGAAGGTATGAGGATAGGTAAGACACCCAAAAAACTAGATAGCATTTGTTGCCCTCAACGCAGAGAAACTAAAGCAGATACTTTAAAGCAACTGAGGCCAATAGGAGAAGGGGACCAGGAACTAGAGAAAAAGTTAGTTCAAGAAGAATTAACCTAGAAGGTAACACACATGCACAGGAAATCAATGCATGTCAACTCCCTGTATAGCTATCCTTATCTCAACCAGCAAAAACCCTTGGTCCTTCCTATTATTGCTTATACTCTCTCTTCAACAAAATTAGAGATAAGGGCAGAATAGTAGTATCTGCCTGGTAGCGAGGGGTAAGGGGGAGTAAGGGAGGGAGGAGGGGGTAAGGGACGGGGTGGGGGGAATGGGAGGGAGAAATGACCCAAACATTGTATGCACATATGAATAAAATAAAAATTAAAAAAAAAAAAGAAGCTTTGACCACTGGAGAGGAGAGGAAAAGACTAAGTTTAGGGTTTGGAAGTCAGATGGGACTTAGTTTTTTCTTGTTTTGTTTTTCAGTGCTGTGGACAGAACCCAGGGCATGAATATATTAGGTGAGCACTCCACCACTGAGCTATATACTAGCCCTATCTTTTTCATTTCTTAATCTCCCCCTCATCTCTTCCACCTCTCCTGCCTCTTCCAGGGAAATTGTTCTCATCCGATATGAGTTATTGAAAAACCCTAAACCCAAACGGCAAAATAGTGTATAATTAGAAGACAGAAAGCAGTCTTCCCTTCCTGAAAAACCTAATCCAGATTTAACTTTTAAAGGAAAAGTAATTATCCCTAATTTCTGTACCCTTTATGTTAAAATAACACCAAATACTGTAAAGATGAACACAATAATATTAATAGTTAAAATCAAGCCTGGCGCTGGTGGCCCTCTCCTGTGAATAATCCTACCTACCCAGGTGGCAGAGATCAGGAGGATCACGGTTCGAAGTCAGCTCAAGCAAATAGTCAAGCAAATAGTTCAGGAGACCCTATGTCGAAAATACCATCACAAAAAAAGGGCTGGTGGAGTGGCTCAAGATGTAGGCCCTGAGTTCAAGTCCCAGTACCAAAAAATAATTAAAATCAATTTATATGATCTGATTCTTACATAGGATGCAGCTAAAATTATGCACTCCAAGAAAATTAACAGATACTATATTTATGGAATTGCAGCTTTTACTTAAAAAAAGGTTTGTAGACAAATCTATGAGCGCAATGCAAATGATGCATGGGATTATGATCACTAAAAACCCTTTGAAAACTGAGACTATAGCTTTGGGTTTCTCCGCTGCTAACCTTGGACGTCTATGGGGAAGGGGGTGAGATGCCTTTTTAGTACGATTAAGTGCATAAAAATCGAAATCTCAGACCCCAATGGCGTATCTCGAGGTAGCACACTTACCAAAATACTAACATTTTTGGAGGGGTGGTTTTTCAAATTTCCACTTTTTAAAGGAGGACTAACCTAGATTCTTACGTTTTAATTCTGTCAGCAATTGATCGGCTAGATAGCCTTAGTTAAATCAGGTCCTCAATAGTGAAGGTACGAATGTCCAAAAATCCCGCCGGTATGCAGACTCCAGGACGTTTGGTCACGCCTCCAACATGTTCGCCAGGGGAGGAATTTTGGCCTTCGCGGCTCGCCGTCCGCGCAGCCTCCAGAAGCGGCCGTAAGCTCCGCCCCCTGCGCTCTGGACGGCGCGAAAACCCAATTGACAAGAACTCCCGCCGAAGCCCCGCGGTCCGACTGCATTCTGTCTGCTGATCCGACCCGGGCCAGAGTCCGGAGCGCTGTATCTGGGGAGCCCGAATAAGAGGCCTTTTGCTTGCCGGCCGCGACCCAGAGGCCTGGCTGCCCGTACTTTCTCACCGCCTTTTCCGCGTTTGACTGCGGAGCTGGGCCCAGCGTCCGCGCCCGCTCCGGGCGGGTGGGCGCCCGGGGTCCCGAGACCCACCCGACCGTCCAGTAAGTCGCTCTGGTAGGAGCCAGCTGCCTCCATGGCCTCCAGACAGGCGGGACCGGACCGCGCTAGGTCCTAGGAGCCGGGATTCTGGTGGAAGGCAGGGACTATGGTGGGGGTCCTGGCCATGGCGGCTGCAGCAGCTCCCCCTCCCGTGAAGGACTATGAGATTGAGGTGAGGTCGAGCTTCTGTCAGGTTCCTTTCTTCTGGTCTCTTGGGGGATGGTGGGCGGGGTGGGATGGTGGAAGGCGATCTCAAATTTGCATTTGGGAGGTCGAGAGGAGGAACAAGGTGAGGAGTCACAGTTGTGACTTTGGGTGACACGGTTGCCACAGTGTGTCGTTTCTTACAGTCGAGATAAATGCCGACAAACACTGGGACTGTGAGATGCTTGTTGAGATTTAGGAAGCCAGTCAGTTCCTAGATCCGAAATGTTGCTGGGATGCGATGTCTTGAATTTCTGACATGTTAGGAGGATCCCAGGGTCAAGTTCTGAGTTCGTGATACGGACTCATAGAACCTTAGCGTGGAAAGAGATCTAGTTCACACGTCTGCCTGTTCAGGGAATTCCACTTAGAATGTCACTTGAGGAATCAATAAATCACTGGATAAGCAAATCAGCTTCTAATGGCTCCAGAGCATAATATGCTGCAGTTAGGAATCCCAGCGTGGCATGCTGATGTTCTCCTGTATTTATCAGGTTTCAGTGAAATACACTCAGCAGTCATTAGTCATATTTTATGCCGTGAAGTGGTGGGTTAGTATACAGCTGTTATATTTTTGCACCTTTTCATCTCAGTTTAGAATTCTAACTGAAGTACCTTGGTTTTGTTTTGTTTTCTTGTTTTTGATGAGACTGGGATTTGAACTTAGGGCTTCATGCTTGCAAAGCAGATGCTCTACTGCTTGAGCCACACCTCCAGTCCATTTTGTTCTGGTCATTTTGGAACTAGGGTCTTGAGAGCTATTTTCCCTGGCTTGCCTCAAACTATGATCTTCCAGATTTCAGCCTCTCACATAGCTAGGATTACAGGCATGAGCCACCAGTGCCCAGCTTTTTGTTGTTGTTGTTGGGACAGAGTCTTGCTGTGTAGCCCAGGCTGGCCTCAAACTTGATCCTCCTGCCACAGCCTCCTGAGTGGTGAGATTACAGACATGTACCACCACACCAGCTCTGTTCTGGTCAGTTTTACTGGTCTTTTGCTTAGTTTCTGCTTTTGATGCCCTTTTTTAGCCTATTTCATGATGATGATACTTGCTGTTTAGTATGGTAAAGGCCTTTTCCACATTGTTTTGCTTAATATCAGCCCTGTGATGAAATATCTGTATTCTATCGATGAAAGAAGAAAGTTAAAAAGTAATTAAAAGTAAATTTTTGTTTTGATGGATGTAGGTTTAACATTAACGTTCACTTTCTTTTTAATGTATGATGTTTGTAATCTAAAGTGATTTTTTCCAATTATTTACAATGTTAGATCCATGCTTTAAAATTATATATTTATTACTTTGCTTGAAATAAGTGCTTTTTTCCCCCTTCTTTTAAAATGTTAGCCATGCAAAAAGCGAAGGAAAGATGATGATGACGGATCTTCCTGCAAAACAATTACAAACTATTTACCACCAATAGGGAAGTCTGGAGACAGGGTTTTCTCTCCGCCCAAATCCAGTAATATTATGCATTACTTTAGGAAGACTTCACCCTCAAATGAGCAACTACAATCAGCAAAAGACTGCAAAAAAAATTTGTCTGCGCTATCACCTGTTGACAATAGCAAAGACTGTAAGGCACCTTTGGAAGTGTTCTCAAATATAAAGTGGAAGAAGAGAAGAAAAAAGGTTAATTTATCTCATCAATTAAATAATATCAAAATTGAGAATGAATCTCCAATTGAAATTAGTAGTGATGATAGTAAAGAAGACTCTGGTTTAAGTAATGATTTTATGGAAAGTAGTACTTCGGTGTTACTTTACAAGAAACATGTAGACATTCTTGCAGAAAGTATTCAAGATAGCAGAAACCAGATAAATACTATGACCTCCAAAAAAAATGTTAAGAAAGTAAATCCTAGACAAGGATCCACAAAAACTGATCGCAAAAAGTTGAGAAAAAGAAAGTCCAGAGATGTAATAGATCTATCTCAAAATTTACCCTTAGCAGAAGAACTAAATATGCTGAAAAAAGACGGTAAAGGTAGTAAACAGACAATGCTTTCCCTAGCTAATGAAATTGAGAGTACCACAAATGATGCAAACTCTAGCAATCATGAAATAACCAATTTAAATGATAGTACAATAACTGTCTCATATGAGGACTTTTTGAAAAGCCACAAGGAAACTAAAGTGGAAGAGACACTAGACTCTACAGCATCAGTTTGTGTTCCTTTTGAAACAGTTGAAATAGTCAAAAGTGATAATCTAAGTGAATCTGAAAACTGTGAAATACCTCAGCAGGTATGCTCTAAGACAGTTACCATTCTTGCACAAGTTCACCCCACTCCCCCCAGGAAGACAGGGAAAATACCCTCAATTTTTTTGAAACAAAAGCAAATTGAGATGGAGAATAGTCTGTCTGATCCTGAGAATGAACAGACAGTTCAGAAAAGAAAATCCAATGTTGTTATACAAGAGGAAGAATTAGAATTGGCAGTGTTGGAAGCTGCAAGTTCTGAAGCTGTGAAACCAAAATGCACCCTGGAAGAAAGACAGCAGTTTATGAAAGCATTTAGGCAGCCTGCATCAGATGCTCTTAAAAATGGATTAAAAAAGTCTTTGGATAAGCAGAAAGACCTCAATGAAAAATCTTTAAATGAAGATGGAAGAGATAATACTACACGAATCATGGAAAATTCTAATATCCAAATGTTTTCAAATAATGGCAGTTCACAGCCACATACTGATAAAGGAAGTTTTTCTAAGGAGAAAAGTAAAAAGCTAAAGAAAAAGGGCAAAAAACCATTGCGTACTTCTCCAAGTGAAAGCAGAGAGGGAAATACTCAAAAGAAAGAAACAACTTTTTCCTTAAAAGATAAACAAAATCAAAATAGGGTCAGAATGAGTTTAAGACAAAAGAAATCAGAAGTTTTCAAAAGCAGTACATTATTTGACAGTGAAAGTCCTGTTTGTGAGAATATAGCAAATGATGACCCAGTAAAGATTTCATCTCCGTGTGACAACAATACATCATCAAGAAAAAACAGCACACCAGATAAGGATGTTAAGGTTATACATCTTAAAGCTGAACCCGAAGACAGACTGGTAAATCTTCCCACACCCAAATCAACCAGGAGATCTTTGAGGAGTAGCAGCACGCTTACTACAGTAACCCTTGTAGGTATTGATTCTGAAGATGCACAAGATAATAGTCCAGTAAAGGTTTCCACTCCAAAAGCAGCCAACATATCGGAAAAGCATAGCCTATACACAGCGGAATTAATAACAGTATCCTCTGATTCAGAGAGCCCTATCAGGTAAAGTTTTGGTTTTGTTCTAAAGTTTTAGCATTCTACATGTATTATTAGTTGGGAAGGAAAACACTTCAAGCATTGGTAGGCATTATGTTTTCTCTAGAACACAGCTGATTTATAAGAAAAAAGACAAAGTTTCAAAAATTTTTCTTGTTTTTCTTATTTACCTTAAAGCCAATCATACTTTCAGAAGAATTCTATATATTTTAGATATATTCTAAACACTTATTCATGACAGTTGATAATCTCTGGAGAAAAATCCAATAAATATGGTATCTGTGTGTTTAACAAAAAATTAAAAATAAATCAATAGAGTATTATTTCATACTGAAGTATATAGTTGCATACTGGTTCTGGCTAATATATGAATGATCCTAGGGCCCAGTGTAGTGGAGCATACCTGTAATCCCAGTACCCAGGAGGCTGAGGCAAGAGGATCATGAGTTTGAGGTCAGCTGGTCTACATAGCAAGTTGCAGGCCAGCATAGGCTACACAGTGAGATCCTGTTTCTAAAAACAAAACAAAAAAAGATTCTAGAGGCTAATTTCTAAAGGAAGTAGTAAATAATAAAGTTTGAGACTGAGGATATAACTCAGTGGTAGATTGCCTCCATACACAGAACTCTGGGTTTGATCCCCAGCATCTCAAAAAAATAAAGTTTGGCTTGTGTTTGAATCAAACTGATGAGAATTTTTTTTTCTTTTGTGTTTTATAATTAAGCCCAGAAACTGGAGCTTTAGTTGGTTCATTTCTATACTTGAGATTCCTATACATTGTAATGAAAATGTTTCTAAATATCTTACCTTTTGTTTTCCAGAATGAAATTCACCAGAATTAGTACTCCCAAAAAATCTAAGAAAAAATGTAAGAACTTTGAAACAAGTGATGGAGATTTTACTTCTCAGACTAGAAAGGTAATTAAAATATTGGAGTCTTATAAGTGACTCCAATATTCTATTTTTACTTATTTATTTATTTTTTTAAGAACACACTCACCAGGTGCTGGTGGCTCATACCTGTAATTCTACCTACTTGGGAGACTGAGATTGGGAGTATCACAGTTTGAGGCCAGCATGGACAGATAGTTCATGAGACCCTCTTTTCCAAAATAACCAGAGCAAAATGGACTGGAGGTGTGGCTCAAGCAGTAGGGAACCTGCTTTGCAAGCATGAATCCCTGAGTTGAAACCCCAGTCCCACCAAAAAACCAAAAACCTACACTACTATGGAAAATAATAGAGCAAAAGAAGATTCATATTTCACAGGTTGGTTAATGACACTCCTGTACCATTTTTCACTCCTATTTGTCTAGATATCTTTATATGAAGGTATCTTCATATCTTAATATCAAAGTAGCTGTAAAGATAGGGTGTAATTTACTTAGAAAAAGCTTAGTGACTGTTAACATTCCAGTCATTTTCCCTAAGATTGCACATCTGAGTTTGTGTTGTTATAACAAATTACTGTAGGTTAAGTGGCTCAAATAACAAAAATTTATTTCTCACGGTCTGGGGACTGAGAAGTCCAAGATCAATGGTAAGGCCAGTTTTCCTGGTTTGCAGTGGGCTGTTATCTTTCTGTGTACTTGCAAAGTACAAAGCAAGCAGAAAGAATTCCACACTGATGACCTAATTACCTCCCAAAGGCCCACCTCCTAAGATGAAGACATTGGGGGTTAGGATTTCAATGTGAATGGGGGGGCACATTTAGTCATGTCTATAAATAATGATTGAACTTGAGGTTGATATATACAAATTAGATTTTCAAAAACAGGGTTTCTTAACTTTGACATTGTCAACATTTTGGACTAATTTGTTTTAAAGGTCTGTCCTCTACGTTGTGTGATGTTTAGCAGCAACCCAGACCTCTACCCTAAGATACCAGGAATACTCAGACTCCTCTAGTTATGACAACCCAAAATGTCTGCACATAGTGCTAAATATCCCCTGGAGGTGGGGAATCACCCCTTCAAAAACTATTGCTCTAACAGGGGTGGTGGTTCAAGTGGTAGAGTGCCTGCCTAGCAAGTACAAGGTCCTGAGTTCAAATCCCATACTGCATTAAAAACAAACTACTGCTCTAAAGGGAGAAGTAGGATAAATAAAAATTGTTTAGTTGCTTCTGCAAAATAAGCAGCTTGCACCCACCCTGGGAAAATTGAATTATCTTCAGTATGAGTAGATATGTGCCTGTGTTTTGTAAAAGCCACCAACGTGTCTCTGATAAAATCCTTAAATCCTTGTGTGAAAGGAAGTTCCTACTACAGGAACTTGTTGAACGTAAGTGTTCTCTCTCTCTCTCTCTGCCCCTGTCTTTCTCCCTCTCTTCCTCCCTCCCTCTCCTTCTCTTTCTCTCAGTACCTCTCTTGCTCTCAGTACCTCTCTTGCTCTCAACAACTGTCACTTTTTGGCTGCTTGTCACATTCTAAACACTGTGCTTAGTAGTCACTAATTTCATAAAGTTGGGATGAGGAAACTGTAGTTTAGCAACTATACGTAATTAAAAAGATACATACTAGGTACATAAAAAGTAAGTAAGCCACAAGAGTTTAGAGTAGAGAGTACTTTAGGCTGAATCCTTTGGAGTGAAGTTGGAAAGGTATTACAGAATTTGGAAAATGTCCTTAGCCTCTTGGAAAGCACTCTGGATTCCAACTGATTATACTACAGTTAAAAGTTTAAAGTCTCTGAGTTGAACTTTATCCCATAGCTATATTCTTTCTGATTTAATTCTAGAGGACAACCTCAACTTTGATTTTGGAAATACTATACTTTGGTTTGTTCCATATACTGTGTAGAATTGGGATTCAGTAAATTTAGTTGGGTAAATCACAAAAATAAAGGTCCTTTATTGGGGTCCTTACTCAAATTTACTTAGATCACTTATAATCTATCAGTAAACCACAGGACATTTCTCAGAAGGATTCTGTGAAACTTTATCCCTGCTTATATCCTAGCTCTAGGAGAATATCTTCATTTATTTAATTTATTTATTTTTGCAACAGACTCGATATGTAGCTCAGCTGAGGCTTTAACTTGCTGTATAGCCCAAGCTGGCCTCAAATTGGCAGTCCTCAAATTGGCATTCCTCCTGCCTTAACCTCCTGAGTGCTTGGGATTATAGCATGAGCCACCAAATACAGCTAAGAGATTTTTCATGTTTCTATAAAAATGAGGAACAAACTGTTTTCCCTAAGTGTTTGCCTTCTAGGTTTAGTAGTTAAGTATTTATCCTCAGACTTTTCCTTAGATGTATTATCATTTTTTAAAGGGATCATACAGTGTAAACTGTTCTGCATTTTGCTCTGTGTGTGTGTGTGTGTGTGTGTGTGTGTGTATGCGTGTGCATGTTTGTAGGACTGGAGTTTGAATTTAGGGCTTTGTACTTAAAAAGCAAGTGCTCTACCACTTGAGCACACCTCCAATCCATTTTGCTCTGATTATTTTGGAGACAGGGTCTCACAAACTATTTTCCCAGGCTGGCCTTGAACCATGATCCTCCCAATCTCTGCCTCCCAAGAAGTTAGGATTTGGATGTGTGTTTTTAGTCTCAATGTAAAAACCTATAGAATTCCGAATATGGAAAGCACATTCTCTGGAAGATAATATATGAATGCACAAGGTCACATCATACATCAGTGGTAGAGCTAGGCCTGAAAGCCAGACTTTACATCTAGTAACCTTTCCGTTCCATAATACTTTTCAACTTCACTTCAGCCAAAAGTATCTTCTACTCTTAAATTCTCATGGTTTACTTTTTATTTACCTAATATATATCATTCTCCCCGTCTTTCTGCCTCTCTATACATGTGTGTGTATGTGTGTATGCATAATATACATGCAAACACTAGTATACACAATAACATATAGTATGTGATTGTACTTATCTGTATTCTTAATTCTTCCTATACAAGTTTCTTGAGACCAAGGTCCATGTATTACAATATTTTTTTTTTCCTGTATAGTGTCCAACGCAGAGCCTTGCATGCATTAGACTAAGTATCTACTTGCATTTGGAATGTACTTTGCCTGAATTTGATGATTAAAACCAAAGCATAGAGTATCATGAAGATAGTAGGAAAATAACTACCAATTCTAATGTAAACTATAGCTGTTCTTCTGGGCATTTTTTACACATGTAAATATATTTGTCAGGATACTTTCAATTAAGAAAGGCAAAATAATTATAACTATATATATTTTAATTTAAGATCTTTGGTAAGATTTGAATAATCATTTTTTGTTGATTATTTAACGTGATTTGCAAATAGCTTTTTTTCTGTTATATATTTCTATTAAGTATTAAATATTTGTTGTGGGTTTTTTTTGTTTTTTGTTGGTACTAGGGTTTGAACTCAGGGCTTAATGCTTGCTAGGCAGGCGCTCTACTGATTCAGCCATACCTCCAGCCCAAAACATTTGTTTTGGTCTAAATTAATAGTTCTAATTTTTGTCTAGGCATGTAATACTTCAAAAAATATATCAAAAGCAAAACAATTGATTGAAAAAGCAAAAGCTTTGCACATCAGTAAGTCAAAGGCTACTGAAGAAATAGTGATGCCCTTAAGGCGTTCCTCGAGACATCGGACACTTCCTGAAAGGGTGAAATCATCACAAACAGATGTAAGTATTATAGATATCTATTAGCATAAATTCTGTCCCATTTTGCTATTTGGAGTGGGAAAAGGAAACTATTACAGAGTTATGAGGTCATGTTTCTGATAGCCTTGATGTGTTAGAAAAAATACCATGTTCAGTTTTGCTTTAAAAGCCTTTGGCTCCCTTTTGCTTACAAAATACAGTCAGAATCTTTTTCAAGTCACTCAATATCTTTCATAAGCTGAACTGGCTCTTCCATTTTCTCAAAGCAGTTCTTTACTATAGTTATACTAAATTATTCATTTCTTCCCAAGTGGTGCTCTTTTCACTGTTTCCACTTTATTTTTTTAACTTGAAATATATGTTCCAAGTACTGTCTTACCCAAGGAATTCCTACTCTGCCTTTAAGAGCCTGCTAAATGCCACTTCCTCCCCTTTTTAAATAAATAGTTTTCACATAACATACAATTCACCATTTAAAGTATACAATTCAGTGAATTATAGTATATTCACAGAGCTGTGAGTCTATCATAATCAATTTTAGAACATTTTAATTACCCCCAAAAGAGACACCATTCCCCTTTGCTGTCACTTACCAGTCCTCCCAATTTGCTTTCTTTTTCTGTAGATTTGCCTATTTTGGACATTCCTTATTAGTAGTATCACAGACTATGTGGTCTTTGTGTCTGGCTTCTTTTGCTTAGCATATGTTTTTACAGTTCATCCATATTGTAGTCTCAGTATTTCATTTTTTTTATTGCCAGATAACACATTGTATATAGCACGTTTTATTTACTGATTCATCCATTGAGTTGTTTCTGCCTTCCACCTGTTATAAGTAATTCCATGAACATTCTCCTACCTCTTCTTGATGCCTTAAAGGCAAATAATTTCCTTTCCTATATGTATTTTACTTCCTTTTATTCCCTGTAATTTAGTCTACTTTGCTTTCACCGTACATACAATTAATGTCATAAAGTACAAAAAAATTTAATTGTGTGATGGATAATAGTCTCATTATCTACATTTTTGCTCTCTGAGGTTCACTTGCCCATAGTCAACATGGTCTGAAAATATTAAATGAAAATATTCCAAAAGTAAACAGTAGCTTTTTAAATTGCATCTGGATAGCTTGATGAAATTTTGTGCTGTCCTACTCTGTCTGACCTGGAATGTTAATCATCCCTTTTTCCAGTATATCTGTGCTCTATATGCTACCTACTTATTCATTATTTTGCAGCCATCTCAGCTATCTGATGAGCTGTGGCAGTGCTGTAGTATGAGTTCATGTACCTTTGTTTTACTTACTAATGACTGTGAAATACTATATAGGAATGCTGTCAAATTGAATATGCAAAGGGAAACCATAAAGTGCTTCCTTTAAGCGAAAGGGTAAAAATTCTTAATAAGGAAGGAAAAAAAGTTGTAAGTTGAAGTTGCTCAGATCTATGTTAAGAAGGTCTCATCTGGGAAATTGTGAAGAAGGAAAAAAGACATCCTAGTTTTGTTGTCATATATCAAGTTTCAAAAGCAACAGCCACAGTGTGTGATAAGTATACATATATAAGAAAAAAGCCTGTAAAATTATATAGTCTGAGACTATCTTAGGTTTTAGGCCTTCATCGGGGTTATTGATTTGTATCCCCTGTGGGTAAGGGGGAGTACTACATTAAAATTATTTTTTTTCTTATTTTGTCCTAGGATTCTGTAATATTGGTAGATTCAAGTCCCACTTCTTTAAAACAACCAGAGAAAAATCAGAAGAAACTTCAGTGTTTGAATGATGTGCTAGGAAAAAAACTTAGCAAGGCTTCTAAAAATGTACCTGGTAATCAGATTTAATGTCATTTATGATGAATAGTAGGATGTTTGGGGGAATTATTCTGAATGCACTACTTAATGGAACTTTAATCTCTTGTCTTACAAAATGGAAAATTTTAATTGTATCATATTATTTGCATTTTGATAAGTAAACTTCTGATAAAGTGAAGGTTTTTTCAAAGTGTAATTGAGCATATAATTTACGTTTTTTTGGTTTTGAGCATATTTTAATTTATTGCATTTTTGTGTATCTATTTAACTTTAGATAAGGCTATTTGTCTATTTAGCTAGTTAGGTTAGTGGTTCCCAAACTTGACTGATCATCAAAATTATCTAGGTACAATAAAACTTAATTTTAAGTCTGTAGTTCTTTCCCTAGACATATTAGATAACAATCTCCAGAGGTGGGTTGTGGGATTCTGTAGTTAAAAATGAAAATTTGGGCTGGCAGAGTGGCTCAAGTGCTAGAGTACCTGTCTACAAAACACAAGGCCCTCAGTTCAAACCCCTCCCAAAAAAAACCCACAATTCCTCAGAGGATTTTGATATTGCCAGGTTGAGGGAACAGATCATTATTCAGAATTTTATAATTAAAAGGTTAAATTTTAAAAAGTTTAAAGATTTATAACTTTGAGAATAGGTAAAGGTAAGTGGAGATGGTAAACATTAACACTAACCTAAATGTTTATTTTTCTAAGGAAAAATGAAAGTTGCTCCTTTATTTCTTGCCAGAAAGGCTCAAAAAACAGCCAGTCCTGTCCTTGGGTTTGATGAGAACAGGTCAGTCCGCTACAAATTTTTAAATGTCAAAATATTTTATGGAATGGATTTTGTATTTACTTATTTACTTTGATGAGAAGGCATGTAAATTGTTATTTGAAACTTTGATAAGTACATTTTAAAAGATAACAATATTGACAGTACTTCTTCTGCTATTGAAAATCTTGATTTTTGCAAGTATATTTTGGTAATCTCTGCATAAAATAGCAGCATAATAAAAAAAGCAAACCAAAAAAATAAAACTTCATTTATGAACCTCATTCAATATATATGTATTTTTTTTTTTTTTTTTGCAATACTGGGTTTTGAACTCATGGCATCACACTTGCTAGACAGTCACTCTACCCCTTGAGCCACTCTGCCAGCCCTTTTTGTATTGGATATTTTTGAGATAGGGTCTCAAGAACTGTTTGCCCAGGCTGGCTTCAAACCTCGATCCTCCTGATCTCTGCCTCCTGAGTAGCTAGGATTACAGGCGTGACTCAGTGGTGCCTGGCTTCAATAAATATTTAAATACCTATTGTGTACAGGTACTAGTTATTGTGGGGAACAGGACAGATTCCCTGTCCTCCTGAGTTTATAATCTGTAGGGAAGGCAGTCTATGATTAAACACTAATGAAAAGCTGACATTGTGCTAAGGAGAGGTACAGAATTCTATTAGCGTTTATATTTAGCAGATTTCATGTGGTCAGGGAGGGCTTCTCTGAGGAAATGAAACCTGAACTGAAATCTGAAAGAAGAGCAGGGGTTCATCAGGGAGGTACAGTGTTACAGTTTGTCCAGAATACCTTTAGCTAGTAGGAACATGGTAAATACCAAAGACTGAAAGAATGCTAATGTGACTTGAACACAGGGAGCAAGGGGGAGAGAATATGAGATTAAGCTGGAGAGGGCGTGCAGCCAATGTAAGATCTTGAAGGCCATGTTAAAGAATTTTGTGATTATGTTAAGAGCAGTAAGAAGCAGCCAAAAGGTTTTAAGCATGAGGATAGACATAAACAGATCTGTACTTTGAAGGTTTAATGTTCCTGCTGGGTGACTCTAATGACTGCATAGAGTAGAATGACAGGTGAAAGTAGATGGAGGAGTACAGTTGTGAAGATGATGGAGGTGAGAGCTGGAGTCTTGGAAATGATGTATGAAAATATTTTAGGAGATAAATTTGAAAACTTTTCATGTTTAATTACATTGGGGGAGGGGTCTGGAGGCAAGACTCAAGCAGTAGAGTGCCTGCCTAGCAAGTGTGAAGCCCTGAGTTCAAACACAGTACCACCAAAATAGAAAAAATTAGGCTTGGGGGATAGGACTGGGTAAGAGGAAGATGTAAGGATGACTCAAGTTCCAGTTTAAAACACTGAATGACATGCTGAAAGATTAGGTTTAAGCTCACTGTGGGCTCAGGTTATTTTGATTGTGTTTCAATTTTATTGAGCCATTATTCATATTGTCAAGTACACAGACCTCAACCATATGGTTTTGACAAGTATATCATCTTAAGATATACAGTCTTTCTGTTACCCCAGAAAGATTATAGGTACTCTTTTTCTGTAAACTCAGTCACCACCGTTATGACACATGGTTACTAATATTCTGATTTCTGCTACCATCAGTTAGTTGATCTCTGTTTTAGAACTTTACATAAGCCTTGTATGTATATATTTTTTTGTGTCTGGTTGTTTTTGCTTAGTACATGTGCGTGCGTGCGCGCGCGCACACACACACACACACGCACACACACGCACATCTTTATCTCTTAAAAAATTTTTGCCCAAGCTGGCCTTAAACTTAAACTTCTGGTCTCAAGTGATCATCCTGCTTTAGCCTCCTGAGGAGCTAGGACCACAGATGTGTGATACCAAGTTTGACAATATTTTTTAATGAGCTTCATTCAGATATAGTGTACATATAATACTATGCATCCAGGTAAGTCAATAGTTTTGAGTTTTAACAAATGTACATATCTGTAATTACCATCCCATAAAGATATATAACATTTTCATCACTTTTTTTTTTTTTGTGGTGGTGGGGTTTGAACTCAGGGTCTATACCTTGAGCCACTCCACTAGCGCCCCCCCACCCCATTTTTTTTTTTTTTTTTTTTTTTTGTGATGGGTATTTTTGAGATAGGATTTCATGAACTATTTGCCCAGAGCTGGCTTTGAACCATGATCCATCTGATCTCTTCCTCCTGAGTAGCTAGGATTATAGGCGTGAGCACTGGCACCCAGCTGTTTTCATCACTTTCAAGAGTTCCTTTTGCTGAGTTTGCTCAAGTGGTAGAACACCTGCCTAGCAAGGACAATGCCCTGGGTTCGTACCCTGGTACTGCCAAAAAAGAAAAAATAAAATAAAAATTGCATACATTTATTTTTAAATTTTTAAAAAAAGTTTCTTTGTGCCCCTTTGCAGTTAAGCCCTGGCCAGTACCATGCAACCTCTGATTTTCTTTCTGTTGACATAGTTTGCTTTTTCTAGTTCTCATTTAAATGAGATCATACAGTTAAGTGTTCTTTTGTCTTTGGCTTCTTTCATTCAAGGTAATTCAGTAATATTTCTAAGTAATATTCTTTACGTGAATATACCACGATTTGCTTATCCATTCTTTTATCGATGGGCTTTAGGGTTACCTCCAGTATTTGACCATTAAAAAGGCTGCTGTGAACATTCTTATACATATATGTAGACAAGTTTTCTTATCTTTCTTGAGTAAAAGCATGGAAGAGTAATTGCTGTGTCATTATACAGGTGCATACTTAACATTATAAGAAGCTGCCAAACTGTCCTGTGAAATGGGTGTTCCGTTGTACACTCCCACTTACAACATATATGAGTCCTAGCTACTGTCCTAGTCCTTGCCAGCACCTGGCAGTATCGAGATGTTTACTTTTAGCTACTCTAATGAGTTTGTAGTCGAATCTAATTTGTGGTGTTTTGGCTAAGTTAATTATTTAATTTTTGTGGCACTGGGGATCAAATCTAGCCTTGCATGTGCTAGACATGTGCTCTACCACTAAGCTACATCCCCAGCTCCAGTTTTTGTTTGCTAATAATTAATGAATCTAATTTTTAATTAATTCTTAACCTTTTTTGAAGTATAATTTCCATGCAGTTAACTGCTTGCATTAAAGTATATATTTTGGTGAGCATTGTTAATTGTATATACAGTGAAATAACCATAGTTAAGATACCAAATTATTTCCCTTACCCCCAATAGACTCATGCTTTTTTACTCCATTACTCCTTCTGGCCCACCCAAGGCCAACACCAGTTTCTTTTCTCAAACAAGAAAGGAAAACAAAACAGAAATAAAAAGTTTTGTAGCTTCTTTTTAGTTACTCATCCAAGTTTATATTTGTAGGAAATATTGCAGTTCTCACTCTCTCTGTATATGGCAGGCCAGGAAGGGTATGTAAGCTCTGACACACCACCACTCCATCCTCCCATTTTGCCTCATCTTCATACCTCTCCCACTTCCTACAACTCTGGTTAAGAGTCCTATGATAGGATGTGAGGGTGATCTTGCTGTGACATCTGTCACCTGATTGACTACCAGGATTGATTTGGCTGATCTGGCTGGTTAGGCAGGTGTCCCCTTCCTCCCTCACCTCTTTTTTTTTTTTTTCTCTTTTATTCATATGTACATACAATGTTTGGGTCATTTCTCCCCCCTTACCCCCTGCCCCCTCCCTTACCTACCCCACCCCCTCCCTCTACCCCCCTACCCCCTCACTACCAGGGAGAAACTATTTTGCCCTTATCTCTAATATTGTTGAAGAGAGAGTATAAGCAATAATAGGAAGGACCAAGGGTTTTTGCTAGTTGAGATAAAGATAGCTATACAGGGAGTTGACTTGCATTGCTTTCCTATACATGTATATTACCTTCTAAATTAATTCTTCTCGAACTAACCTTTTCTTTAGTTCCTGGTCCTCTTCTCCTATTGGCCTCTGTTGCTTTAAAGTATCTGCATTAGTTTCTCTGCATTACCTCCCTCACCTCTTGAGGTGTGTCCCTCCCAAAGTTGCATGCTCAGTGGAAGAGAACAACCATCCCCGTTCTTCAGTCAAGGGTATATGAGTAGCTGCGCTCCCCTGCTAGAACCTCCAAACAAGCTCTCAAGATTCCTGACACATAATCTAAAGATAAGCCAAGTAAAATAGACTTCAGTGATAAGGGTTTTAATTATCCTTCTATTATATTGAAAACAATATTATGAGATTTTTTTTTAACTGTTTTTGTTTGACGTATGTGTGGGTTTTGTTTGTTTTTAGTTTTTTGCAATGCTAGGGAATGAATCCAGGGCCTTATATATGCTAGGCAAGTGCTCAACCACTGAGCCATATCCCTAGCTATCTTTTTATTTTTTTATAATTTGGCACTTTTTTCTGATTATAATATAAGTGCACATTTAACAACAATAATAAAACTCCTAGGGCCAAGGATGTAATTCATTCGTAGAGTGCTTTCCCTGCATGTATCAGGTCCTGGGTTCGGATCCCAAGCACTGCAAAAAAAAAAAAAAACCCTCAGTAAAGAAAAGATGAGGAAGAAAATTCACCTTCCAGTTAAAGATAGTCCCAGTTAACATTTTGGTGGATGCCCTTCAAGTCATTTTTTTCTATACATACTTTTTGTTTTTTGTTTGTGGTACTGGCAATCAAACCCAGGGTCTTGTGCATGCTAAGTAAACACTAAGCCACTGAGCTACATCCTCAGTCTCTGTTTATTTAATTTCTTAACATGGGTACTTTGATTTTGTGATAAGCAAACAAATTTTTTTTGACATGCTAACATTTTAGGTGACTGATTAATTTTTAAGTTAAATTATTCTCTTTTTTATTTTTCGCATATTGTAGTTGTACCGGGGGTACATTGTGACAGATACATAAGTGCTTACAATGTATCTCAATTAGATTCACCTCCTCTCTTCTTCTCATTTGCCCCTTTTCCCCCCTTAAGTTAGATTTTTTTTTTTTTAACAGTACTAGGGTTTGAGCTCAGGGCCTACACCTTGAGCCACTCCTCCAGCCCTTTTTTGTGATGGGTTTTTTTGAGATAAGGTCTTGAGAACTATTTTCCCGGCTGGCTTTGAACCACCATCCTTCTGATCTCTGCTTCCTGAGTAGCTAGGATTACAGGCATGAGCCACCAGGGCCCAGCCTTAAGTTAGATTTAGAAGTATTTATTTTCTAGATAGTTTGTTCTTTATGTGTTTATAACCTTAGCTTTTCTTTTTCAAATTATTTTCTTAAAAGTCAAGATAAATCTGAAAAGTCTCAGGATTATGATGTACAATTTAAAGCAAAGCGTGATTTTCTGATGAGTGGTTTGCCAGACTTGTTGAAACGACAAATTGCAAAGAAAGCTGCTGTACTGGATGTTTACAATGCAGCAAGTACCAGTTTCCAGACAGTTGTTCATGTACAACAAAAGGATGATGGTAAGTTTCCTTATTATTATTGAATACTTCATCTTCAGCTGTTAGAAGTAATATGCAATTACATAATGTGGTTGTCAAAAGTGAGACTAAGGGCCAGATATGGTGATACACACCTGTAATCCCAACACTTGGGTGGCTTATGTCACCCCTGAATCTGTAATACAAGGGACCGTGAGTGAATGTTGTTCTCTAGAAGGCACTGTGTTCTAACAGGAAGACAGTTCCCTTCTGAGATCAAAGCCCATGTGTGAGCAGATCATCTTTAAGAATTTCTTGGAGGCTGGGGATGTGTCTCAATGATAAAGTGCTGGCCTAGCATGAATGGGAATTGAGGTTCAATCCCCAACACTGTTGAAAACACAAAGTTTAAAAACTTCTCAAAGGCAGAGCAGTCCTTGTTCACAGCTTTGTCCTTGTCCTGTCTACTGGTGAGTGTTCAGAGGAAGCCCAGTTGCCTCCTTTCCAGAACAGCTTTGGCTGTTAGCACCATGTAAGTCCCTTAAATAATAAATAGAGAAGTAATGACTGAGCTGTTTGCACAAGCCTTTTGTAACCCTGGTAATTAGCCTGATCATAATCTAATTCATTTGAGTTCAAGTATATAACACCCTTACTTTACTTATAGTTGTTAGTAACAGACAATGTGCAAAATCTTTTATTATTTAAAAAATTTTTTATCTCATGTGGTGCTGGGAGCTTACTTAGCCAAGTGTTCTACCACTTGAGCCACACCGCCAGTCCCAGTGTGCAGTCTTTTATCATGACTTTGCCATTGTTCCTACCTAGAGTTTTTGTTTGTTAAAAAAAAAAAAAGAAGAAAAAAAAAACAATTACTTTCACCTCAGTTGGCTTTAAGGCTTGGCTTTGTGCGTTGTTTGTACCTATGAAATGTACATTGTGTTCTGTTCACCTTTCTTTTCCTTTTGTGTGTTTCTGACCTCGCTAATGCTTTCTGGGTTTTGTTCAGTCTTTCTTTTTTATGGGGTATTTCCCAGCAGTGTTTTTTTTTTTTTGAGAAAGATTCTCACTGTGTGTGCTAGGCTGTCCTCAAACTCACGGTCTTTCTGCCTTAGCCTTTTGAGTGCTGAGATTACAGGCACGTGCTACCAGGCCCAGCTCCTCAGCCAATCTTTCTAATATTTTCTTCTATTTTACCTTGTTTCCCATTTATGCTACTAACCAGTCAGCTTATGGGGCCTTTTGTGGTATTTTTACTAGTTCAGTTTCATATAACATTTTCTTTCTTTCTTCGTTCCTCCATCCTTCCTTTTCTTTCTCCCTCTCTCTTTTTCTTCCATCCCTCCCCCTTTCCTTCTTTCCTTCCTTCCTTCTTGTTTTTCTTTCTGTCTCAATTTTTTTTTCAGTGCTGAGGATCAAATCCAGGGCCTTAGTGTACTAGGCAAGTGCTCTCTCACTGAGTGCTCTACATTGCCAGTTCAGCATTTTCTAATGATACTCAACTTCAGAAATTAGATAAGCTTTTCTTTTCTGAATGTGATAAACTCATTTTCACAGGAGTGCTACTATAAAGTAAACATTTCTGTTTGTAGATGAGCAGGTGAGGTAATCATAGAACCCCTGTCTCACAACCTTACAAATAATATATTAAATGTTTTCTATTATTTGGAATCTTGCTGAGCTAGTTTAATTGCAGTATAGCTAGTTTAATCTCAATAACAAATTGAAGATGTTGAGTATTACAACTATTGCATTACAGATAAGAAACTAAGCTCTGGAATCTTGGCCTTACTCACAAGGGTAGTAAGTGGCAAAGTCTGGATTTGAGTCCAGATCTGACTTAAAAGCATAAACTTTAGAACTGGGCTTGGTGATAATGCCAGCAGTCCAGAAGCTGTGGCAGGAAGATCTGTACTTCAAGGCCAGACTGGTCTCAATAGCATGAATGCTAAATTTCACTAAACTTTCCCATTAAAATTTTTGCTCTGATTATCAAAGTAGACTTAAAAAGAAAGTTTATTCATTTTTGTTTGTTTTGAATTTGTTTGTTTGGAAGACTAATTTTTATTAATTGTATTTGTTAGAGGTGTTTATTTTTTCCCATGTATTCACCTGTGTTTTTGGTACTTTCTCTTTCACTAGCCTTTGTTTTTTTTTTGGCCATGCTACAGTTTCAAATCCAGAGCCTCATGCATGCTATGATTTGCCAAGTCTTTTCATGTTTGCATACTTGCCATTCAATAAATGCATAGTATATAAGTACAATTAATTATGATAATTTTCCTGTTTTTCTTTAGGGTGTTGGCTTTGGCATTTGAAACCACCCTCCTGTCCTCTGTTAACTAAATTCAAAGAACTGAATACTAAAGTACTAGATCTCTCAAAATGTGTTATTGCTCTTGGTGAATTTTCAACATTGAATTCCAATCTGAAAAGTAATTCTGCTGTTGAGGTAAGTACTAGAGAGCTCATCTTTCAGAGGGGAAAAAAATTGAATATCTGTGGTTGTAGCCTATACTTTGTTCTTTTCCTAGAGCCTAATTTTTAAAAATATATCTAATTGAAGTATACATCCTTTAAATACAAAGTTTTAAAAACATTTAAAAAATTAATAATAGAGCTGGGCATGGTGGTACATACCTGTAATCCTAGCATCTTGGAGGCTGAGGCAGGAAGATTATGAGTTTGAGACCAGCATATGTTATATAGTAATACACTGTCTCAGAAAAAAAGAAATTAATAAACAGTTTTGGTAGACTATATAGCCCATTTAGATTCTGCGTAAGTCAGCATTATTGTTTAATAAAGGTGTAAGTATACTAGTTGAAAGGGAGAAAGTAAAAATATGAACTGAGTTCTTCAAAAGCTATGTAAATGGAGCCTTGTGTGTAATGACTATAGATAATCCTACACTGATACTGACTGCTTTTGGGCAGAGAACACTTGATAGTATTGTGACTAACATGAATATATGATATGGGTCTGTTATTGTGTATCTTTTTCTTCTTTGCAGTTTACGAGGACAAGAAAGGATTTTACTAAAGAAGTAAGAAATATTTTACTGGAAGAAATTGGGTGGTCAAATCCTGACTTTTCTTTGGGAAGATATTTTCCCTTGCTTCTACAAAAACGATTGGAGCACCAGGTACTTTATGAGTATCATAGTAAACAAGGTTAGTAATAATTACTAACATTTATGTTAATATTTCAGTTTTGAACATATAAGACTTAGTTTTTAACTCTGAGAAGTGTACACCATAGACAAAAGTTGCTTAAATTGGCAACGAAAATTGTTTATCCAAAGGAAAACACCTTATGCATGCAGTGTTAGCACTGTTAGCTTACAGAGATGCCAACATAAAGACAGCTTTAATTATGATAAAATGTAAATCACTCATTTAAGGAAAGCCTTAAAGAAGATAATAGTAACTTACGTTAGGTTTTCAGCTTAATTTCAGTATATCACATTTGATTCTTATTTTTTCATCACAGTGTCATAATACTATTATCTGGAAGTGATATGAAGATTATTCAGTATTAAAAAATAGTTTTTGTTGATAAGTAAGCACATGACTTCTATAATTACCCAAATAGGGAGTCTACACCTAGAGCCTGATGTCAATCAAAAAGAAACCAAAAGGAAGCGAGTGGAAACAGAAAATCAGAAGGCAAAAAGAAAGAAAACAAATGAATGTTCAGTAAGTCCAGAAAAGATAAATGGGAAGTCAGAAGAACTACACAAAAAAAACGCCTCTTTTGGGATAAAGCTAGATTCTTCCAAAGGTATATTTTCCAGAACATCACGAAAGAAGCTAACTGCTTTGAGTACAAGGTGTAAAGGGAAGACAGAAGCAGTCAAAGATAATGATGTTCTGAAAACAGATGATGACAAAGAATCTGCAGCAGAGACACCTTCCATTTCTGGTAAATTAGGTTTCTCTCCTCTTGTCCTAATAGTGTTGTTTTTGAACCCTCATCCTTTTTCATTCCCTTTTTTCTTTTTTTCCCCACAATACTGAAGTTTGAACTCAGGGCCTTATGCTGGCTAGCCTAGCCCCTAGCCGTCATAGAATGTTTTAATGTTTCTTTCCAGTGGTCAAAGGGTCTCCATTACGATTATGTTGTCTTTGTTCTTTAAATTGTTGGGTTTTATACTACAAATTATTTTTCATAGTTCTTGTTTCTTGAGTGGTAATTAAATATTGTAATGTGTACTTTTTTATGCCTTCTTTTCATGAGATTTTATGGTGATTTTTTTAAGTTGTTGATTTGATGTGATGAATTTTAAATGTAATGTTAAATTTTAAAAGTACCTTTCTTGCATTTTATAAACTAATACTTCTATAAATACCTAATGTTACATTACCACAGTAATTTAAATCCTTAAGAGTATATGCTTATGTCCAGAAATAAATAATACCTTTTGTTTTTTAGATTCTGGAACTGAAGATATGCTTTGGACAGAAAAATACCAACCTCAAAATGCCAGTGAACTCATAGGGAATGAGTTAGCTATAAAAAAGTTACATAGGTTGGTAAAAACTATAAAGAAATTGAGAAATAACCCATGAATTTAGTTTTCTAGTTTATTTAGACTAAAAATTAGAAATTGTAATTATTGAGTAATATACTATGTGGAAAAATCTTTTTAAAACAAAAAAAAAAGAAGAATTTTAAGTAAAAAATTTCTCTTTTCTCACATTTCTCCACCCTAGAGGTTACCACTGTTGAGACTTTCTTATGAAAGTGTTCAGAAAAAAATTTTTTTTTGTATTACATAACATTTGTTCTTTCCTTTCTGACCAGTAGAATCATATTATTATTTATTCAGGTCCACACCCTTTGCTTATAACTCCAAAAAAGTTCTGAAAACTGAGTATATTGACTTATATTACATAAAGTTTATTATGTTGTTCATGATTACACTTAGTAGGAATTTGAATTACCTTTCTAAAACCTGAAAAATTCTGAATTCTAAAATTGCTTGAACCAAAGGATTTTATGTAAGGGATTGTGGACCCATAATAATTGTTAGTATCACAAACTTGGTAATGTTCCAAGTACTTGTGCTATTCTTAGTTCATATAATCCTTCGGACAGTACTTTTGGGGTAAATACTGTTCACCTCATCTGACAGATGAAGAAATAGGCCTCAGATATACTGTTATTTGTCCAAGGTCCCAAGCTAGAAAGTGGAGGAGCTGGGGTTTACACTTAGAACTGTCTTTCAGCTTGCACTTAGCATTGTATATTAGGCCTCTTTCATATCATCATACACTCAGTTTACCTCAGTTCTTTTCAACTACGATGTACTGGTTACTTCTATGAGTATACCATAATGTATCATTTCCTCTTCTGCTGTACTTTTCTGCATGTCCTTGAATGAGCTAATACAACATTGCAGTGAATGTTCTGACACATAGAGTCTTATATATTTAGGAAAAAATTACTTCATTTAAAAATACTCGTGCCCATGTAAAAATATTTTATTAAGCCAGATGCTGGTGGCTCATGCCTATAATTCTAGCTATTTGGGAGGCTGAGATAGGGAGGATTACAGTTTGAGGCCAGCCTGGGCAAATAGTTCTCAAGCCCCCCATCTCCAAAGTAAACAAGCAGAATGGACTGGAGGTGTGATTCAAGCAGTAGAGCACCTGCTTTGCAAGCATGAAACTCTTGAGTTGAAGCCCCAGTCCCACCAAGAAAAAAAATTACTGTTTAGTTGATGCAGAAGCACTATGGAATAAGATACCGTAACTTCCGCCTAGCAATCATTTTAACATAGGTTTAAGAGATCTATATTCTGTAATTTCTTTTTTTATTAACACACATTTCTTGTGTAACAGTTGGTTGAAAGACTGGAAAAGAAGAACTGAATTGGAAGAAAGACAGAATTTAAAGGGGAAAAGAGATGAGAAACAGGAAGGTATTTTGAGTCATCTTTTTCCATTTCACTGAACTTTTCTAAACTTAGATTAGCTAAAATTTTCATAAAATTTTTGGGTTCAGATTTTATATTAATTTTTTATTTTTTGTAAATTCATTTTCCAGCATTCTTTGTCAAGAAATTTGTGGGATTTGATTATAGAGTTTCGTGAAGTAGAATTGCTACCTAAGCAATTAATCATTTTATATGCATTTGAATAACTTTTCAGATTTTTCGGATAGTGTAGACTTTCAAGGCAATTCAGATGATGAAGAAGAAAGTCGTCTTTGCAATACTGTCCTTATAACAGGGCCCACAGGAGTGGGAAAAACTGCTGCAGTGTATGCTTGTGCTCAGGAGCTTGGATTTAAGGTTAGTAATAGTTAAAGCTGAAGAATGTTAATATAGTAATTACCCTTGAATTAAAAGAAAAACAAGCAGGTGGCTTGTGGTCACTCCTGTAATCCTAGTTACTTGGGAGGCTGAGATGGGAGGATTGCAGTTAGAGGCCAGCCTGGGCAAACAGTTCATGAGACCCCCATCTCCAAAATAACCAGAGCAAATTGTACTGGAGGTGTGGCTCAGTTGGATGCCTGCTTTGCAAGTACAAAACCCTGAGTTCAACCCCCAGTCCCACCAAAAAACAGAAAAAAAACCCCAGCTGGGTATGGTGGTGTACATGCCTATAATCCCAGCACTCAGGAGGCTGAGGCAGAAGGATCTGGAGTTCAAGGCCAGCCTGGGCTACATAGAAAAACCCTATTTAAAAAAAGTAAAGAAAACTAAACCATTCTTTTTTCCATATATTCTTCTTTTAGATATTTGAAGTGAATGCCTCTTCCCAGCGCAGTGGTAGACAAATTCTGTCTCAGCTGAAGGAAGCTACTCAGTCCCATCAAGTAGACAAGCAGGGTGTAAACTCACAAAAACCCTGTTTTTTTAATAGCTTCAACATTGGCAAGTCACCAAGTAAGTAAATTCTTTTCTTTATCTTATAACCTTTTGAAAAAAAAAAATCTGCAAAAATAGTTTGTCAGCTTTGTGCTCTTCATTTTTTTAATCTTTTCCTAAGTATAAGTATGCTGAACTATTTTAAAAGAAAACAAATTGAAAATCATTGTATCATCTTATCCATGTTTTTCTAATCAATAAGAGCTTTTTAAAAAGCGTAACTACAGTGTCATAATGAGACCTAACAAAATTAAGTGTATTCCTTGGTATCACCTAACACACAGTTTGATTTCAGTTTTCTATTGTTTCATGTGCTTTGTTCAAATCAGGATCTAAAGAAGGCTCATAGCTTACATTTGATGAATGTCCCTTAGGTTTCTTTTAATTCCTCTAACAATTCCCATACCCTTTGTACTCATGTCATTTATTTGTTGAAGAAACTGAGTCATTTGTCATAGAAGTTCTCACGTAATGGATTTGGCTATCCTTGTGGTGTCAGTTAAGATTTTCTTCTTCCCTGTATTGCTTTTAAACATGTAATGAGCTTGATTAGATTCAGGTTCGGTTTTGCAGCTGGAACGCAGGAACAGTTGGGCTTGTACTTTCTGTGACACCATGACAGAAGATATAGCCCATTTTTAGTGCTGTTATGATTGATGAGTGAGTTCAAATATTTTCACTCTGACCCATTTGTTTCTTTTTTTTTTTTTTTTCTGTTTGGTGCTGGACATTGAACCCAGAACCTTGTATATGCTAAGCACATGCTCTGTCACTAAGTTATAGTTCCACCCTGTGTGTGTGTGTGTGTGTATACACATATATACACACACATACACATATATACATGCAAACAAATATATATGTGTCTATATATATTTATTTGTTTATTTATTTATTTCAGTACTAGGGATTGAACTCAGGGCCTCATACTTTCCAGGCAGCCATTCTACCACTTGAGCCACTCCCCTGTAACTATCTTATTTAATGGTCCTTTATAGCCAATAGTGCTCTTTGTGTAATGGACTGGTTATTAGAGATTTAAAAATGATTTTTATAATTCTTTTGGCCCTTTTGCATTTATTACCTGTAATTTTGAGAAGCACTAGTCTCATCAGCTATTTGGATACTTTGAAATACAGTTTGTTTGCATGAGAAATGCTTCCCATTATTTTTTAGTTCTTAAAGCATCCTAGCAGCCTCCAAAAGTCACTAATGAGTTTTTGTACTTTTATGTTTTTTAATGTTATTATGAACTCATGAATTTATAAATATTTAATATATTTTAATACTTTTTGTTCATTAGTCTTTGCTGCTTTTAAATTAAAATTTTTTATTTGTCAGTAACTTTCAGCAATTTGATTATGAGATAAATTGGTGTAGGTTTCTTCGTGTTTCTTCTGCTTGGAATTTGTTATAATTTTTGAATATATGGGTTTATAGTTTTCATTGAATTTGGAAAACTTCAACCATTGTTTTTCAGAGTATTTTTTCTGTCTTCTCCACATCCTTTGGTAGCTTCAATTGTAGATATTTTAGACAACCTAAAGTTGTATCACAGCTGAGTGATGCTTTGTTCAGTGTTTCAGTCTTCATTTTCCTCTTGGTCAAGTTCACAGATCTTTTCTTCTACAGTGTCTAATACTTTCAGTGCCATCTAGTGTAGTTTTCATTTGTCTTCTTGTTTCTACTTATGTGCCCACTCTTCACTCTTTCCTCAAGGGTTTTTGAATATCTGGAATTCAGTTACGGTAACTTTTAATGTTCTCTTCTAGTAATTCTGTCATTTGTATCATTTCTAGTTGGTTTTCAATTGATTGTTTCTCTTTCTCTCATACACAAGGCACATTAGGGATGGTATTTTTCTGCCTCTGATGTTTGTTACTGTTGTTTGTGTGGAGTTTTTTGAGATAGTGTCTCACTATTTAGCCTCAGGTTGGCCTTCTGCCTCATCCTCCTGAATGCTAGGATTATAGACATGAACCACCATGCTGGCTGGATGCCTAAAAAAAAAAAATGTGAGGGGTGGGCCTCACATTTGCTAAGCAGGGACTCTACCACTTGAGCCATTCCATGCCTAAAAAGTTTGATTTCATGTCAGTTTTACTTTGTTGGATGCTGGATACTTCTATATCCTTCAGCTTTGTTCCAAGATGCAGGTGAGTTACTTGGAAACAGATTATTCTTTTCAGGTTTTTTAAACTCTGTTAGGCAAGACAATAGCAACAGTTAGACTAGGACTACTTTTGTCACACAACTTTGGCAAAACTGAGTTACTTTACCTAGTACCCCATTAAGTCTCTTGTTTGCTACTATGTCTTTTGGGATGAATGAACTCACTCTTTAGGTCTTTAGACAACAGGGATTGTTCCCTGTTGTCTGATGAGTCTTCAGTTTTAGACTTTAGGGGACCCTGCACATTTTCAGTGTTCTTTGCACAACTGACTCCTCTTGTTTATTCTGCATTATGATCTCTGTCTGCCTTGGTTCCCTGGCACCGAGTATAGTCTCCTTGACTCAGGAAAACCTGCACTGAGTTTTCCTTCTGCACTGTGTTTGGAAATTCTCTTGAAGCAATAAGCTGGCCAATCCTAGTACTTACTTTGCTTCTTGTCTCTCAGGGACCACTGTTCTTTGCTGGAGGAGGGCTAAAGTGTTAAAATGTTTTATATGTTATGTCCAGCTCTTTTATTGCCATTATTTCAGGTAGGAGGGTAAATCCAGTCTCTGTGTCTCAGCTATAACCAGAATCATATCTTTTTTCCTCTGATGCTCATATATCCCCATCTATAGCTAGCAGGGAATTGTTACAATTGGCCTGTATCCTTTTTACGAATCCCTAGCAATGTTTTATATTTTTCCTTGCTTTCTGCCAAGTCAAGATGTCCCAGACCAGTGGGGCACTGGTGACTTACACCTGTAATCACAGCTAGACTTGGAGTTACCTATTTCTCCTAGGAGGTGATTCTTTTTTTTTTTTTTGGTTTATTATATATGCTTTACTAAAATGGTACTTGTATTTACAGTATCTGCAGAAAGAGTCCTTTCCGAGCCCTCTCACATATATCCAGACATCCAGATTTACCCATATAGACATCCACACCATGGTGTCATGCATCCACACCAGGTGTGAGAATCACTCCTAAAGTTAGGTTGGAGGATAAGAGTTGTTGATTTGTTTTTCAGTTTGTTTTGGCAAAGAGAAAAGCATGGGGAAATGCATTTAGCTATTACAGTGCTAACTCAGTTGTGTATATTAACATATATGCAGTTAACACTGATTGGTCCTTTTACATTCTAGATGTCTAGAGACATCAAGTTTATCCCAACTTCAGTTTCAGTGCTGTCTGCAGTGACTTCTGAATTCACATAGGTGCTTTCCCTAAAATTAATTCAGGTTTATAGAAGTGAAATAAGGCACAGTTAATATTGATTTGACTGAGGGGAAGGAAGGGAAGAGATAAAATTGGTTTCTAATGGTCTCAGTTGTGGAATTGCTTTGACCTCAATCCATTTGAAATTCCCTCTCCTTTCTAAGGTTTATTGGAAAAAAGTTCTTTCCTTTTCCCTGATAAAACCCTGGAAAAAAAGTTTGGGAATTCACATTTTAATGTTTCAGTAGCCTCAACTATTCTAATTAATGTGTAATCACCTAGGAAGTGCTTGTTTATTGAAAAGTTTTTCAAAAAGAATATATTAATAATAATCAGGTAATTAAAAAATTTTAAATTTAAATTGGAGTATCTTTAAGTAAAAATTTTCTTGTAATTTTTAAAACCAGTCTTAGGACTGATACCAGTCTGTCATCAAGCAGTCAATCCTTGGTCTATGTCAAAATAAGAAAAATAACAGGATAGTAAATGTTTCTAATATTATACAATATAAAGAATTGTTTTTCACTTTAAGATTTTCCATCTCTTACCTATGTTGTTGAAATAATGTGATGTCTATGATAATTTTTTCAAACAGAATTATGAATAAGTTTATTGAATACCTCAAATACGCAAGGGATAGGACAAGATCTATGGATATAAAGGGGACAAAAAAATAGGCTGAGCTGGGTACCTTTGGCTCACTCCTGTTAACCTAGCTACTCAGGAGGCTGAGATTGAGAGGATCACAGTTCAAGGGCAGTATGTGCAAATAGTTGGAGAGACTGTATCTGGAAAATACATAACAAAAAAGGACTGGACAAGTGGCTCAAATGGTAGAGCACTAGCCTAGCAAGCGTGAGTTCCTGAGTTCAAACCTTAGTACTGCCAAATAAGTAAATAAGTGTAGGACACAGTATAGAATTGTGTCCATAAGAGTTAGTAAAAAAGCTGGGCATGGCAGCACCCAGCATTCGGGAGTCTGAGGCCAGAAGATCGAGAGTACAAGGACTACATAGAAAGGCTTCTCCCAAAAAACACAAAGGGGAAAAAACCTGGTGCTTTGGGCCTGTGTAATCATTAGGAATATAGGCTGGGTCTAGTGACTCACTTTTGTAATCCTAGATACTCAGAAGGCAGAGGTAAAACTACTGTCCAAGGCTGGCCCGGGTACAAGACCCTATCTGAAAAATAAATGAAAAGCAAAAAAGGGTCTGGATGTGTAGCTCAAGTGGTTGGCACTTGTCTAGCAAGCACAGGTCCTGAGATCAAATCCCACACTATAAAAAAATAATAAAAACAAAATAAAATTAGAACAGATAAGAACTAAGTCAAGGTACTTAGAGGAGAAAAGGGCCTAAGCTCTGTAATAAATGCCTTGGGACTTCTGGAGAGTAGAGATCAAGTCCCCATCCTCCAAAGCATCTTTGGAAATATATATTGTTTGTGTGTAATAAGAGTTACATATAGGGCTAGCCAGGTGCTGGTGGCTCACACCTGTAATCTTATCTACTCAGGAGGCAGAGATCAGGAGGATCGAGAGCCAAGCCAGGCCGGGCACATAGTTCATGAGACTCTATCTTGAAAAAACCATCATAAAAAAAGACTGGTGGAATGGCTCAAGGTGTAGGCCCTGAGTTTAAAGCAAAAAAAAAAAAAAATTTACTTATAGGGCTAAGTTGAAGTTGAACAATAAAGGTCTATAATGGGCTCAGTGTGTATACTATTATCATTTTTCCTCCAGCCTCTTCTGACTTCAGGCAGGTGTTAAGAAAGTCAGTTGAGGGTTTGTGAACATTATTTGCTTAAAAAATGTGTATTTTAGCTGGGTGCTGGTGGCTCAACCTGTAATCCTAGCTACTAAGGAGGCAGAGATCAGGAGGATCACAGTTTGTAGCTAGCCTGGGCAAATAGTTTGCGAGATCCTATCTTGAAAAAACCCTTCACAAAAATAGGGCTGGTGCAGTGACTCAAGATGCAGGCCTTGAGTTCAAACTCCAAAAAAAACAAAAACTCAAAAAAAAAAAAATGTATTTCGTTGGAAAAGAACGATTTCCAAATGGCTGATTTCTTTGTACAGTTAGAATAAATATACTACAGTAATATTTGACTGTAAAGTATTTGCATATTAGAATGAAAGGAGGCTTCTACGTCTATGCTTTTTATCTGGTAACAGTAGGTTATAGAATGTGTATAACTCTATCAGTGTAATTTTTAGAATGTTTTTCCTTAAATGCATTTGTTTTTCACAGAGAAATTGAGCTCCCCTAAAAAAATTGTTTCATCACCAAGGAAGCATCCTCCGTCCTCACCAAAAATTGGTGGGCAAAAGCGGGCTCCTCCCTCCAAAACTTTGGCAAGTTACTTTAAAGTGTCTTCCAAACCCCAAAATAAAGAAGAAGTAGGAGTACTTAAGGAAAATAAAGGTAAAACATTAAAGTCACAAAATAAGTGTGACATTTTTAATATTAATGATGCTGATACATAAAATATGAATGTATGTCATAGGTTCCTATTGTTATTTATTACACCTTGGTTACATTGAAGGTCCTACATACAAGAGTTTTAATATTCTGTTTCAGTTTTGGTAAAGGGAATCAGTTGAACTTATTCTGTGGAAATATCCGCTGTTTGAATAAAAATGGTTTTCCTAAAATATTAGTATTTTATTTATGCAGGAATCAAAAATTCTTCTTTGGAACAGAAGCAAAGTACTCAGACTAAATCTACAAATGCAACTAATTCAAATGTCAAAGAATTTGGAGTTGAGGAACCCAACAGGAAAAATGCAACATCTCTCATTCTTTTTGAGGAGGTAGGTTAGAGAGGTACACATTTATGATATCTCCTGATAGAAACTTATTTTAAACATTAAATATATTTTCTTATAAAGAAATATAAGCCAGCTGGGCACTAGTGGCTCACGCCTATAATCCTAGGTACTTAGGAGGCAGAGTTCAGGAGGATCGCCATTCAAAGTCAGCCCAGGCAAATAGTTCGTAAGACCCTATCTTGAAAAAACCCATCACAGAAAAAGGGCTGGTGGAGTGGCTCAAGGTGTAGGCCCTCAGTTCAAGCCCCAGTACTGAAAAAAAGAAAAAAAGGAAAAAAAAAGAATTATAAGCTAGATGTGGTGGTTCATGCTTGTAATCCCAGCTACTAGAAAATCAAGAGACAGGAGGATTGTGTATTTGAGGACAGCCCAGGTAAAATTATCGAGAACCTATCTCTAAAACAAAAATAAACAGGGTGCAGAACTAGAGATGTTGTTCAAGCGACAGAGCACCTGCCCAGTAAGTGCAAGACCTGGACTTCAAATCCCAATACCACAAAAATTGTTTACATGGCTATGTATTTAGTTCTATTTCTGATTCAGAAAGAAAGATTAGCTCGTTAAAATGCTTTTCTAAAATCTTAATTTCTTAAGCTGGGTGCTGGTGGCTCAATGCCTGTAATCCTAGCTACTCAGGAGACAGAGATCAGGAGGATCGTGGTTCAAAGCCAGCCCAGGCAAATAGTTCAAGAGACCCTGTCTCAAAAATACCTAACACAAAAAGGAGTGGCTGGTGTGGTGGCTCAAAGTATAGGCACTGAGTTCAAACCCCATTACCACAAAATAAATAAATAAAATAAATAAACATAAATAAAATAAAAATAAGAGATGGAGGTGAAGCTCAAGTGGTAGAGTGCCTGCCTACCAGGTACTGAGTTCAAACTCCACTACTGCAAAAAATAAAAAGACTGTGGGTGTAGTTTAAGTAGTACAGTTCTCTTGTAACGAGTGCAAGGCCTTTGGTTAAATCCTGAAAAAAATAAATAAAATAAAATTATAAAATAGCTAAGGAAGCCAGGAATACTTATATCTATTTGAAGTTAAAGCAAATGAAACCACCAATTATAGAAGAATTTTTTAGGAAGATGATTAATGTAGTTCAAGGCTATTAGTTACTGTTTAGTGATTGTAGAAATTATTGTGATTCACATCCTTCCAATTATGGATGACTGCATGTTTAATGTTGAATATTTGATTATTTTATAAATTATTTTATGGTACAAGCTTTCAGCATGGGCTAAATTCACTTTTCAAATATTAATAAATTTTGTCATATGCAGTTTATGCACTTTGTATGTATCTGATACCAGTGAGTATATTGTTACTAATTACCTTAATATTCTAATAAATGGTTTATAGGTTGATGTCATTTTTGATGAAGATGCTGGGTTTTTGAATGCAATCAAAACATTCATGGCAACAACTAAACGACCTGTAATCCTTACTACAAGTGGTAGGTAACAGTGATTTCAGTACACTTAATTACTTTTGCTTAAAATGTTTCAGGAAAGCTTCCAGTTTTATTAGAAATGTTCTTTTAGAAATCAGTTGGGGCCAGACATAATGGTGCACACCATAATCTCAGGCACTCAAGGGATGGAGCCTTCTGCAGTTCCTTAGTACTGAACGTACCCCTTTATGCTGATGCCACTACCCTATTGCACGGTTTAGCTAAAGGAAGCCATCACCAACCTCAGAATCTATCTACTTTTTTAGGAATTAGTAGGGGATATTTAGTTTTTAAAATCCACACAGCCAGCCATGGTGTAATCTCAGTTACTAAGTGGCCACATGCAGGGGAATCTTGAGTTGGAGGCCAGCCTGGACAAAGTTGACAAAGTTAGTGAGACCCTATCTCAAAAACAGGAGTGAGGGTGTGGCTCAAGCTGTAGAGCACTTGCCTAGTATGTTCATTCTGTGCCCACCACCCTGGCAAAAAAAATTCATAGTTTCTTTTTTTGTTATTCATTTTGTTTGGTTTTTGGTTTTCTAATACAAGATATCCCTATGTAGCCGGGCTGTCCTTAAACTTACAATCCTCTTGTTTTAGTCTGCGATTATAGGCTGCGATTATAGCCATGCTCCACTACACCAGGCTCAACTTCTTCTCTTCTCTTCTATTTTCTTCTCTTCTCTTTTCTTTTTGTGGTACTAGTTTTTGAACTCAGGGCTTCACTCTTACCAGGCAAGCACTCTGCTACTTAAACCACACCTCTGTCCTTTAGTTATTTTTCAGATAGGGCCTTGTGGTTTTTTGCCCAGGCTGGTCTTGAACGGCAATCCTCCTATATCTGCCTCCCACAAAGCTGGGATTTCAGTTTCTTCTATATCTGGGGTGTGGTGCTACATACCTGTAATCCAAGTACTCTTGAGGCTAAACAAGACAATTACAAGTTAGAGACCAGCCTGTCCTACACAAACTCTGCCTTTAAAACTCAAACAAGAGCTAGGGATGTGGCTTAAGTAGAGGTGCTGAGTTCAAACCCCAGAACTGCCAAAAATAACACAAACAAAAAAATTTGAAAATATTCAGGAGGCTAGCTCTGCTGTGGATTTATATAAGAGAATGTGGTTTTGTTAGGCTTTACTTACATTTTCTTGGTGCTGTGGATCAAATGCAGGGCCTTGTGCATGCTAGCCACATGCTGTCCTGGAGCTACATCCCTAGCCCCTACTTAGAAATTAATGGCCCATTTGACAGCTAGTGACTGTACTCTAAAAATATAAAAATTTATTAACCATAAGTTAGTTGGTAGCTTAATGAAAAGATCATAGTTACTTCAAATAGAAAGTCCCTTTAAGATTTATGATTTACATGGTAGTGTACAGTAGTCACCCCTTATCCATAGGGGATATTTCTAAGACCCCAGGTGGATGCTTAAAATCTTGAATAGTTCCAAGCCCTATATATACATCATGTTTTTCCTATACATGCATACTTATAGTGAAGTTAAATTTATAAGTTCATCCCAGTAAGAAATTAACAACTAATAATTAACAGTTACAACAGTATACTGTAAGAAAATTGTCAGCCTCACTCATGCTCGAGCTGTAATTAAGGAATAAAAGGATTACTTGAAGTCAGCACTGTGTTTCTACAAAAGTCAGTCTGACAACCAAGAGGGCTAAGTGAGCAATGGGCAGGAAGCAGATAAAACATGGACACCCTGGACAAAGGGGATGATCCATGTCTAGGGCAGGGCAGAGCAGGACAATGCTAGATTTTATCACAATACTCAGAATGGCATGCAATTCAAAATGCATGAATTGACTTGGGTTGTAACACATTTGTACATGAAAGTAATGCTAGGAATCTCTCTGTATATCTATCCTTAACTAGCAAAAATGCTTTGTCTTTCTTATTATTGTTTATACTCTCTCTTCAACAAAATTAGAGATAAGGGCAGAACAGGTTCTGCCTGGAAGCGAGGGGGGTTGTGGGGAGAGGGTGGGGGCAGGGGGGAGAAATGGCCCAAATAATGTATGTACATATGAATAAATGAATAATTTTTAGAAATACATGAATTGTTTAGTTCTGCAGTTTTCCAGTTAATGTCCTTGGACCATGGTAGACCACAGGTAACTAAAACTTGAGAAAACAAAACCATGGGTAAGGAAGACTACTTTCATTACTGATGAAATGCTAATTATTATCATGAAAAAGTATAACTGAGAAAAGTTATTTAGTAGTCTTAATATTTAAAATTTTTTTTTTCTGCAGATCCTACATTTAGCTTAGTGTTTGATGGCTGTTTTGAAGAAATCAATTTCAATACTCCTTCCCTGGTAAGTTTTAAATTCTGATGATCATAAATTACATATTATGTAGAAGGTAATTATGTAGAAGGTAATTTCATACTATGTTTCGTTATAATTTAAAAATGTGTTTGCTAAGGGATACATTAAAACATTTGGGGTTGGGATGGAACACAGCAGTAGAGTGCCTGCCTGCCAAGGCCCTGAGTTCAAACCCCAGTGCCACAAAAACAAAAACAAAAAACCAACTTCTGGGCTCATGGAATGGCCTAAGTGGTAGAGCACTTGCCTAGCAGACATGAGGCCCTGAGTTCAAACCCCAGTCCTGCCAAAAACAAAAAAACCAAAAAAACTAACTTCTGTGTTTGGGAAATTTCTAATTAACTTTTTGTTTTAAAAATGTTTTTAAAATTTTTTTACACTACAGTGTTCGACTTTTTTTCCCTTAGTAATAATGTTTATTTTTTAATTAGGATATATTCAATATAGAGGGATATTCGTAGTGACAATTCCGATTAGACTTATATTATACATTATTTACATTGCTCTCATTGTCTCTCCCCATCAACCCCCTCGGCATCTCACTTAAAGCAATTGCAAGAGGTTTCTTAGTTTTGTTTTATATAGGTATATGAAGTCTATCTACAATATACCGTCACCTTAATCTTCCTTCACTCTCCCCTCTCCACTAGTAATCCCCCCACACACACACATGGACCTATTTTACAGGTCTGGTTTTCATTAACATTAATTTAAGTTGATGTTCAAAAGGGGGTGTCAGTGCTAACCATGCGGGTAAACTTTTACTTGTTTTGGTCCAGTCAACGGCCCGTTTCTAGTTACCTCTCGCTCTGGTCCTTAACACTTTTTCACTTTATGTACTTCCCTACCACCCGGACAATATTGGTTTCTGGGCGAGTGGTATTGTCTACACGACATCCCTTATATTCCCCAAGGTGCTATCCTGGCTCACATTAGCACTATGTTCTATTCAAGATGAGTATTCGCCTGAGCTCTTAACAGACAAAAAGCTAACTGAAAAATATACAGACTAAACGAATACCTCTTCCCTTTCCTTAACCTTATCCGCTTTCCCCCCAGAGTTTCTCAGCTCGTAGCCAGTATTGGTTCCAACCTGTTTTTACGCTAAGCTTATGCTCTCCCCTAGGCATTTCGAACTTTGTAAATGATTCACTGCCTTGTCTTTGTGTATACTTGGATTATATCTCCTCTTTGGATCTATACCGTGTCCCTACATATTAGAGTAAAACATGCGGCTTTTGTGTTTTCCCCTGAATCTCTGGTCTAACCCCAGCTTTGTGTAATAACATGGAGTATATGTCCTCCAATTGCCGGATTATCCCATTGTAACCTCCTCCTAAATTCGCTTCAATCTATGCTATCTTTCCCAAACCATGGTCATTAATTCCTTGGCTTGAGGTAATACTCCCATTATCCGCCTGTAAACAATGTACCAACAATTTTCATGAATCCATCATCAGTTGTAGGGGGCATCTGGGTTTTTACTTTCCAGAGTTTGGCTATTGTAAATAGTGCTGTGCATGAACATTGGTGTAAATTGCAACGGGTCTCTAACTTTTGGCAGTATCCGTCTTAACATACTTTTGGGTAGGATTGCCGCAGGAGTGGTATCAGTGGATCATATAGCAGCTCTGATCTATAGTTTTTTTGAGGAATTCTCACATATCTGCTTTCCATAGTGGTTGTAATTTATAAGTTTGACTACCACTAAGGTGACTGTTTCCATAATCCCTCTAGCGATTTTGGTGTTTGTTGTTACCCTTGATTGATTGGCCATCTAACTGGGGTGAGATGAATCTAAGGTGTTGTTTTTAAATAATTATTTTGTATTCTTTTTTAATACCAGGGGGATTGAAGCCACTTCTTCATGTAATTTACTGGGCCTATTTGGTACCTCTTTTCCTTTGATAATCACCCTTAAAATTCCCATGTGGGCCCACTTCTTTCACTTCCCATTGGGGTGTGAACTCCTTGGGGGCTGAGTTTTGAGTTCCCTAGATCTGGAATATTAGTCCCCATTATTGATGAGTGGCAAAGAATTTTTCGATCTTTTCTCCCAATCTGCCCTGTGGGCTGTACTCTTGAAGTCTGGTGATCGTTTCCTTTGCTAAAGTGAGAAAACGACTCTTTATTTTGATGCAAGTCCCAACTTTTTTCATTCATTCATTGCCGTAGGAATAGAACATTAATCACCCCATTGAAGCTCCTATGAGGCTAAGGTATATTAATTTAGGTTTTAATTTCAAAGTAGTAAGGAACATGTGCCTTTTGTATGTGGCTTCTTAGACAATCAACTATGGATGCTTGAAACTTGATTTTTCAATGGCTGTTCTGTTGGTGCAACTGCTGAGGTCATATGCATTAGGTATTTGTTTAACTTTTTAAGAATTTGCTAGGTAGGTTTCCAGTGCATAATAATTCTGTCAGCTTCTGTCAGTCTTTGTTCAAGAGCTCTACCTTGAGCCACACACCCCAGTCCTTATCAATCTTTTTAAGTTTAGCTACAGTGGTGATGTCCATCTGAGTATGTTTGCTTCTTATTAGTTAGCGCTATTGAAGTATAATTTACATTTAATGACATTCATTCATTTAAGTGTATGGTTCAGCGAGTTTTGATAAATGTAGGTATAGAACATTTGCATCAAGCTGGGTGTGGTAGTATACTCCTGTAATCCTACACTCAGGAGGATCAAGAGTTGGAGACTAGGCTGGGCTGCATAGTGGCACCCTGTCTAAAAAAAATGAAACAACGTTGAGAATTAAACTCAGCCTTGTGCACGTCAAGTCTCTACCACTGACCTAACATTCCCAGGCCTTGTTTTTTTCAAACAAGATCTTGCTATGAAGCTCAGGCTGGCATTGAACTTGAGATCCTCCTTCCTCAGGCTCCCAAGTGGTAGGATTATAGACATGAACCACTATGCTGGGCTGTTAAGCATCTTTTCAAGGGTCCATTTACCATCTGTCTCTTTTTAAACTTTTTTATTCTTATTTTTTATTGTTCTAGATTTTTTAATATATTTTATTAGCATATATAACTAACAACTGTACAGGGGGTTTCATTTTCACGTTTATATTATGTGCTTACAATTTTTTTTTTTGGCAGTACTGAGGTTTTGAACTCAGGGCCTCATGCTTGCTCAGCAGTCTCTGTACCACTTTAGCCATTCCACCAGCCATTCTTTTGTGTGAAGAGTTTTTTCGAGAAAGAATCTCACAAACTATTTTCCTTGACTTGCTCTGAACTGTATCCTTCTGATCTCTGCCTCCTGAGAAGGTAGGCTTATAGGCATGAGCCACCAGTGTCCAGCTTACAATGTATTTTAATTATATTCACCCCCTCCATCATTTTCCCTCATCTTCCACTGATCCACATCTGTTTGGTGAAGCATCTGTCAAATCTTTTTTGGGTGTGTGTGCTAAAGATTGAACCCAGGACTTTGTGCATTCTAGGCAAGTACCTTACCACTGAGATATACCCTCATCCCCATTCAAATCTTTCGCCCATTTTTTTTTGGAGGTACTGGAATTTGAACTCAGGGCCTTGCACTTGCTAGGCAGGTACTCTAACACTTTAGCCATATTTCCAAATTGTTTTCCTTCAGATATTTTTCAAAGAGGATCTCCCTGTTTAAAATCACACTGGCTCCAAACCATGGTCCTCTTATTTACACTTTCCATGTACCTGTCACATACCAATGTGACCAGCTTTTATTGGTTGAGATGGGAGTCTCACGAACTTTTTGCCTAGGCTGGCCTCCAACCACCATCCTCCTAATCTCTGCCTCCAAAGCAAGTAGGATTGCAGGCATAAGCCACTGGTGCTCATCTTTACCCATTTTTAAAATTAACTGTTTGCCTTTATTGAATTGCAGCAGTTTTAAAAATACATTTTAGGTATGTTTGTGTTAGATTTGTGTTTTGTAAATGTTTTCTTTTAGTTTGTGGCTTTTTCATTTTCATTATGAAGAGTGAAAGTATAATTTTAATGAAGTTCAGTTTATCAGGTTTTTCTTTTATGGTTTGTGGTTGTATATCCAATTTAAGAAATCTTTGCCAGGCACTGGTGGCTCAACACCCAACACAAAACAGGTCTGGCGGAGTGGCTCAAGTGGTAGAGTTCCTGCTTAGCAAGCATGAGATCCTGAGTTCAAACCCCAGTTCCACCAAAAAAAAAAAAAAAAAAAAAAGAAGAAAGAAATATTTACCAAACTGAAGCTTATAGAAATTTCATAGTTTTTTAGCTGTAACATTTAGGTATGTAATCTACTTTAGAAAGTTTTTTTTTTTTTTGACAATATTGGGATTTGAATTTAGAGCTTCACACTTAGGTGCTCTATCACTTGAGCCAATCCTCCAGCCCTTTTTCCTCTGATTATTTTGGACATAAGGGATTTCTTTTTGCCCAGATCACCTGGACAGTGATCCTCCTATTTTATGCTTCCCAATGTAGCTAGAATGACAAGCACATGCCACCACACCTAGCTTTTCTCCATTGAGAGGGGTCTTGCAAACTTTTTCTTTCTTTCTTTTTTTTTTTTTTTTTTTTGCCAGTGCTAGCCTGGAACCACAATCCTCCCCATCTCAGCCTCCCAAGTAGCTTGGTTGAGATAGGATCTGTCAGTCTTTTGGTTAGGGCTGGTTTCAAACCTTGATCCTCCCAGTCTCAATCTACTAAAAGAGTTTATATACTATATGAGGTTCAGCATAATCTGTTTTCATTGTAGACATCCAATTGTCCAAGCATTATTTTTTCAAAAGACTTTTTTCTGTTGAATTACTTTGCAGTTTTGTTAAAAATTCATGGAATATGTGTGAGTCTTATTCTGTTCCATGCATTTATGTGTTCTGTAGGAAGTCTTGAAATCAAGGAGTGTAACTCCTCTAACTTTGTTCATTCACAAAGTTGTTTTGGCTGATGTAGGTCTTATTCATTTTTCTGTTAATTTTTGAAAGAGCTTGTCAGGTTTTACAGTTTATTCTGATGTTTTGCTGGAATGGCATTGACTTTGTTTTGTGTATTAGTTTGGGGACAGCTGACATTTACCAATATTGAGTCTTCTGATTTGTGAACAGTTTACTATTTTGGGAGGAGGTAATTTCTCTCAGCCATGTTTTTAAATGTTTTGAACATGCCAAAGAACATAAAGTATACCACAGTTCCATAGTAGCCAGTTTTACATGTGCGGTTCAGTGGTGTTAGGAATATTCACATTGCTGTGCATTCACATTGCTGGAGAGAACTTTATCATTTTACAAAACGACACTCTATGCCCACTAATTCCCTCTGACTCTTCCACCCACGGTAGCAACCGCTATTCTACTTTCCGTTTCTGTGAATTTGACTGCAGATACCTCGTGTGGTACTGGGCCATATTTGGCTTTTGTCACTGGTTTATTTTATTTAGCATATGTCCATCTATGTTGTAGCATTTGCAGTTTTCAGTTTTGATTTGTGTCATACTTCCCCTGGAGAGTGCTTCTCTAGACTCTGTGGTTTTTTTCTTCATCCTTGCTAAATTCTCTTATTAGCTATAATAAGTTGTTTTGTCGGTTTCTTAGTGTTTTGTTTTTTTAAAGCAACTATGCTGGCATCTGGTATAGTTGACAACAGAATTGTCATGGCACAGGCCCAGAATGTCAACAGCTACTGGCTGCGGGTCTCCCAGCAGAGTAACACTGATTTAACAACAAGGCACCCTAGGCAACTGCCTACAGTTGGGTATTTCTTAGATTTTCTGTGTATGCAATCATGTTACCTACAAATATAGGTAAGTTCACTTCTTCTCTTTGATTTTTCTTCCCTTCATTTCTTTTTTGATGCTCTATCTCATTGATTAGGACTTTTAATACAATGTTAAGTAGAAGTGGTAACAGTGGATATCCTTCACTTGTGCTTGATCTTAGATGGGAGGTGATTACTATTTTACTATTGAATACAAAGTTAGCTGTAGGTTTTCATACATTCTTTTTATAGAATTGAGCAAATTCTCTTTATTACAAACTTTCTTAAGAATTTTTACCAAGAGTAGATGTTCAGTTTGAAAACCTTCTATGGCATGTTCTGAAATCAAATATTTTACTATTACTATAGAAAATTGCAGTGATTACTATTGGCCTTGGGTTTGATCCCCAGCACTACAAAACAAAACTAAAAAAAAAAAATTATGTCACGTGTGGTGGTATATACACCTATAACCTCAGCACTTGGAGGCTAAGGGAGGAAGAATGCCAATTCCAGGCCAGTTTGGGCTACATCAGAAGTTCCAGTCCATCCTGGACTACATTGGAAGACCCCATCTCAAAAGAAAAAAAAAGATATGTGTGTGCGTGTGTGTGTATAGTAATACTGGAATACTAAATAAAACAAAAGTGTTCTTTTCACCCATAAACTCCCCAAAAAATCAAATGTTTTCCCTTCTGTTTCTTATTTACATACATATACATTTTTATGCACTCATTGCTATAATTTTCTAATTCTAATTTTAAAAATACATATTTTTTCAGTATAAGTTTTCATAATTTTGATGACTATAAAATATTCTATCAAGCTATACTATTATTTAACCCTCAGGGTTTTTTTTCAAGGTTTATAAAACTTTGTCCACAGGTTGGAGAATTTCCTATAAAAGTTTCCTTGCCGACCTGGACTATAAATTATAAATAAAAGAAGTATATGTAAATGCCTTTAATTTGGTGATATATGCCCTTATATTTTTTACAGAAATTTCTTTCTCAAGAAGAGCTTTAAGGTATTGTTTTAGCAAAATTTGTCTCACTTGTAGATACTGTTCTGTTGACTCTGCAAGTAACCACGTTTCTCTTTCTCTTTCTCTCTCTGTTTTTAAGCTAAATGTTGCCAGCTACCTACAAATTATCTGCTTAGCTGAGAATTTCAGAACTGATGTAAAAGACTTTGTAACCTTGTTGACTGCAAATGCTTGTGATATCAGAAAAAGTATCCTTTACTTACAGTTTTGGATTAGAAGTGGAGGTGGATTTTTAGAAGAAAGGCCATTATCTCATTGTCGTAAGTTGATCTATTATAAAAGAAGTTTTTACTATGGGACCTTAAGTATATTCTATAACAAATTATTTGTGGGGTTTTTTTTTTTTGTTTTTTGTTTTTTTTGTTTTTTTTGTGGTACTGGGGTTTGAACTCAGGGACTTGCACTTGCTAGGCAAGTGCTCTACCACTTGAGCCACACTCCCAGCCCTTTAGTATATTCTATAACAAATTATTTGAAAGACTATATAAAAATTTTGAGTATCTAGTCATGCTAATCTTCAGAATACAAACACACATCATATGCGCACCTTTTTATGAATTTACTATAGTTGTTTTTTCCTTCTTTCACAATTCTTTTTTTGTATTGGGGTTGTTTTGAAAGCCCCTATCATCATTTCACTTAGCTTAGGTATTGTTTTTAAATAATGCTTATATTATACTCTTAATGACTTAAATAAATACATGAAGAATAAAAATGGGGGCATAGGTCCAAAAGGCATCAAAGGATTTCATACTTTAGATAATTGTCTGATACAAATTGTTTAAAATATGCATAGCTAAGATTTTTCATTTATGAATTTTGTAGGTGGAAATAGCAGAAATGTACTATCCTGCTCTGAAGATGACCCTGGTTCCAAAAATAACACTAAACCTACTAGAAAGAATCTTCGCATAGACCTTCCCAAATGTGACACTGGCTGTGTTGAGACCTTGTTTGGACTGAAGAACATTTTTTCTCCATCTGAAGACTTATTTTCATTTTTTAAGGTATTTTCAGTGTTTATTTGGAAAGTTGAATTTATGTGTCTTTTCATTTTCCCAATATTCTTTGTGTTTTGAGCCTTAGGTTAAATTTAAATTTGCTTATGGTTTTTATAGGCTTTAGAGTTCTGATTTTAACACAAAAGGTGCATAGGTATTGCTATAAATACATCTTAGAAGATGTAGAATAAATTTAGAAAGTTTTCAGATAATTTCAAAATAGTTTTATTTTTTATTTATTTTAATTTTAATTTTTTTGCTGTACTGGGGTTTTAAACTCAGGACCTCAAAGTTGCTAGGCAGGTCCTCTACCACTTGAGTCACTCTGCCAGCCCTCAAGGTAGTTTTTAAATGAATGATCTAATTACTGAATTGAAGTATATGTTTTTGTTTTTGTTTTTTGCAGCAGTGGGGTTTGAGTTCAGGGTCTTGTGCTTGCTGGGCAAGTAAGTGCTCTCCCACTTGAGCCTCAGCTCTACTAATACTGGAGCATTTAGTTCTGCAAATTAATGGTGTAAGTTTAATTTTTCAGACTCACTGCCTTTTTTTTGTTGTTTTTCTTTAGTGCTAGGGATAGAACCCAGTGATTTGCACGTTAGGCAAGCGCTCTACCCACTTAGCTACATCCACAGTCCTATTAGTACTATTTTGATGTAGTAATTGTAAATCAATAAAATATAAGGGATAGTAACTTAAATTTTGAAAAGAGAATAGAAACAGCTCTTTTCATATGTGTAAAAAACTGTTTAAAATATGTCCTGTTATAACATTTCTTTACTCAAAATTGCTTTTCAGCACAAATCACAACAAAGGAAGAATGGCATAAAACTCATCCAGCTTCTTATGGAATTCCACGTGCGAAATGTAGACTTTTTATATAGTAATCTTGAGTTCATTCTCCCATTACCAGTTGACATTATTCCAGCAGTGAAAAACATCTGTGGCTCAGCAGTAACTGTGGATGCCAGTGCAGCAACACCTAGTGTGACTTATCTTGCTGGGAAACAGTCTGAAGGAGAACAGCCATTGAGAAAGTCACAGAAAAAAGAAGCCTAAGAAAAAGATGGTGAACTAGATGATAGTGACTTATTTGACACTGGTTTGGATTTTTCTGATGAGTTTATTAGCCTATCCCCTGAGTTGTCCTCAACTTTAGAAGAAAGCAAAGCCAGAGACAAAGAGAGCAATCCAGAGCCAAAGAAAACTAAAGGAATGTTTAGAGTCTAACATTGAATCTATTCCTCATCCTCCTAAAACACCCGCAGAAAAAAAATGTTCTATCCTTGTTTCTCTCATTGTTTAAATTCTCTTACTGAGTTCATGGATAACATGTCCTTCTTAGATGCCCTTTTAACTGATGGACGGGAACAGAAGGACTTTAGTCAAAATGACTTTCTTTGGACAAGTGGAAAGGTTAAAAGTGGACTTTGTGATGAGTTCAGTCTGGAGAATATGTGATGGATGGACTTCTCAAACCTTTGGAGAATTAAAGGCAGCCACAGAAGCTCTCAGCTTTACTAAATGTTCTTCCACTATTTCAAAAGCATTGGAATCCTCCTTGAATTCTTGCAAGAAATTAGGAGGAGACCCAACCAGTGATCTTACTTTTTGTGTTTCACAAAAGCGCAATAATGTATGCTTTAGCCAGTCAGCAGCTAATGTGGAGTAAGTCATCTTTCTTTCTGCTTTTCATTTCTCAGTAATAAATGGCAAGGGGAATCACTGGTTTCCTCATTCTTACTGCTGGTCTGCTGGCACTGTTGACCTGCTGATCATGGTGTGCCCTTCACGTTAATGGAAGACCAGCCTGATTGCAGGAGGACGAGGATGGGCTAGTTTTGGGAAACCCTTGAATGCTAGTGAAGCGGTCTGCACTTGCTGTGACAGACAGCAGTCAGCCATTACGATTTTTCAGTATGGACTGGTAGAGTGGCTCAAGTGGCAGAGCACCTGCCTACCAAGTGTGAGGCCCTGTAAAAAAAAAGAAAAAAAGGTTTTCAGTATGGCTGGGCTCCAGTGGCTCATCCCTGTAATCCTCGCTATGTGGGAAGCTGAGATCTCGAGGATGGCAGTTTCAGGTCTGCCCAGGCCAACAGTTCATGAGACTTCATCTCCAAAATAACCAGAGCAAAATGGACTGGATGTGTGCCTCACGCAGTAGAGCACCTGCTCTGCAAGTGTGAAGTCCTAAGTTCAAACCCAACCTCCCAACCAAAAAAAAAAAAAAAATTGGGTATACTGGCTCATGTCTGTAATCCCAGCACTAGAGAGGCTGAGGTAGGAGGATTGTGAATTTGTAGTCAGCCTGAGCTACATAGGAGACCCCTTTCTCAAAAAAAAAAAAAAAAAAAAAAAAGATTATGGAGTGATTGGTGTGTTGACAAGAAATTAATCTAGAAGTGTCATCAGTGTAGATCAGAGACAGGGAACTGGTTATGTTTCGAATCATTACATTTTTTATTGGGCCTTAAAGCTAAAAACTAATGCATTACTTTTAATTTGCAGTGATGCTTGGAAGAGGACAGCAGTCATTAAAAGCGTGTTCTCTAGTCGATCTCTTCTGAGCCTCGGTAATAAGCAAGCTAGCATCGTTGAATACCTGCCAACTCTTCGGAACATTTGTAGGATTGAGAAGCTAAAAGAACAAGGGAAAAATAAAAGAAGGTAAAGATTATTTTAAAAAGTAACATTTTAGATAGCTATTTCAAGATTAATAAATATGCTCAGATGGAAATATTAAATTATATTGCTCTTTATAACTTTGATAGGTTCCTGCACTATTTTGAAGGAATTCACCTTGACATTCCAAAAGAGACAGTGAATGCACTGGCAGCTGACTTCCCTTAAGAGTCCTCATTAACAAAGCCTTGTACAGAGCGTGTCCGTAACAGGCATTTTTTGTACTATGTTGATTTTCATGGAAGAATATTTCTCAATGTACATTTGAAACAGTCTGTTTGTATTTTTTATTGCTGTGCAAATATTTAAAATGAAAATTTTGAGTTAAATTATTATATATTATTGTAGTTTTTACTGAATTTTTTAATATTATCTAATTTCTCTTTGGTGTAATTTTTGTATGTGAGTGAGCTGTTTGTAGGAGATAGAGCTGTCTAAGACATTTCTAAAGATGCTTCATTGCTAAACTAATCTGTAACCTTTCCCTTTCCTGTTACCCTTTAATCTTTCCCTCTCCTCATGTCAGTGCTCTGTCATGCTGTACATATGAGGCTCATGGATGATATTCTTTCTAAAGGAAGTTTACAAAACACAGAACATAAAATTATAAATGCAATATTTAAGGAAACTTCCTAGGAAGAAAATTAAGCTTCATCTTTTAAAACAGCACTTTCTGTTAAGTGTATTTCTAATATACTTTTTACCATTTTATCATTGAATTATTGAACATTCCAAATTACAGCTTTCATAAATTTTGTTTGAACCTCTGTGTACGTAATATTTTGTATATTTTGCCAACTCAAATAATTTGCCTTGTAAATTTTTCTTTGATTTCTGCATCATTGATGTTTTACTTCATAAAGATGTTGATGATATTAATATATCTATTTTGGACAAGCTACTACTGTTCACTAAAACAACAACAAAGGAGGATTCTACCATAGGGCTTCTGCATAACAGCTATTTCTATTAAAGGTTATGCTGTTTTTTAAATTTTATTATTATTATTATTTTTGTTTTTGTGATATGGTGTTTGAACTCAGGGCCTCATGCTTGTTAGGCATGATCTCTATCACTTGAGCCACACCGCTAGCCCTTTTTTGTGTTGGGTATTTTCAAGATAGGGTCTCGACAACTATTTGCCCAGGCTGGCCTCAAACCTCGATCCTCCTAATCTCTGCCTTCTGAGTAGCAAGGATTACAGGTATAACCCACCAGTGCCTGGCTAAAGTTTGTGTTTTTGATTTTATCAAGGGATCAAATCAAGGATGTTGCACACATTCTCGGGAAGCACCCTCCCTATAAACATAGAACCCCAGCCCTATTTTGTTTTTGAGAAAGGGTCTGGATATGTTGCCCAGGCTGACCCCAAACTCTCAAGCTCAAGAGGTCCTGCTTCAGCCTTCTAAACAGCTGTAATTACAAGCACAAGGTATAATACCTTGGCAAGTTTTATGGTTTTTTTTTTAAAGTACATATTTTTTACTCTTTTAGCAAGATTTTAAAACATCACATTTCATTTAAAATTATTTTGCAGTAAGATAATCAAGTGTGTTTAAAATCACTCCATGTTTCAAATGTTTAGATTGTATAATATCTTAATATTCAGATACATTATCTGATGAATTGTATTTTTAACTCTAAAGGATCCTAATTCTGTAATTTTTTTAAAGTATAGGTGCATACCTGTTTACAAATGTGTACAAAGACTTATTTTTACCTCTTATTTGTTTAGGCTACTTTTTCTTGTATTGATAAGTATACTGATATGATTAAAGATTAAAGCTAAGGGCTTTATGTGGTATTTAAATAGGAGTTCAAGATGTAATCATCTTGGTAAATGTATATGTTGTGTAGGTTTGGATATAGGCTTTATCGAGATTACATCCCTGTACAACTGAGGTCCTAATGGTGACCATTTAGCTATTAATTAGGTGTTTTGTTATTAGAAAGTCTCTGATAATTCTCAACAATTGATGAACCAAAATAAGGTAACTCCATAGAACTGTACTCAAGATAAAACAAAAAACCAGCAAATAGTGGGGGCTATCTTCCTCCTTAATAGAGACACATTTGAGATAATATGTGTGTATATATGTATATATAATTTGGTGGGACTGGTATTTGAACTCAAGACTTCAGTACTTACAAAGCAAGCACTCTACTGCTTAAGCCACACCCCAGCCCATTTACTCTGGTTTATTTTGGAGGTGGTATCACAAGAACTATTTGCCCAGGCTGATCTTGAACCAAATAGCTAGGATTACAGGCATGAGCCCAACTAGATTTGATATAATTTGGAGTAAAATTTCATGGTTTTTTTTTTTCTTAGTCATTTTTCAAATAGGGTCTCGTATTTGCTCAGGACTGGCCTCAGATCCTTCTACCTATGACTTCCTGCCTATAGCCACCTGTGTAGCTGGAAGTGACATCCAGCTTATTGGTTGGGGGGGGTGGGGGAGTGTCTCACTAACTTTTTGCCTGGGCTGGCCTTGAACTGAGGTCCTCCTGATCTCTCTGCCTCTCAAATAGCTTCTGCACCCAAGCTTTTTTTGTTGTTGTGTTTTTGAGGCGGGGTCTCACTCTGTAGGCCAGGCTGGCCTCAAACTCATGATCCTGCTTCAGCCTCCCTAGTGCACCACCACATCCAACTCCAGCTTTTCATTCTTTTTTTCTTTTTTTTATATTCATATTGCATACAAGGCTTGGGTCATTTCTCCCCCCTGCCCCCGCCCCCTCCCTTACCACCCACTCCCCCCCTCCCTCTCCCCCCCTTTCATTCTTAACTGTGACAGATTCCTATAAAGTTTAGATTCAATCTTGTGATGAAAGCAACAAATTTTGATGACTTAAATACTTTGCCCCATCCTCTTAATTCCTAAAATTGACACATTTTCATGTATAGCTATTTCCAGAAATATGTAGGAGGTAGAATGACATGTTCTGAAATAAATAACTGGATAGCTGGTGAAGAGAATAATTTCCTTTTTGACATGCACAGTTTGAGCAATCTACACTATTTCAAAGGCAGAGATTTATAAGTACACAATCACATATGTAAATGTGGAAGCTTACAAGTGCATGGCAAGTCTAGACTGCTCACCAACACTGGAGAGTTGTAGTAGCTTGTAGCAGGACTTCTCCTTGCTTTATACTTTTTTTTTTTTTTTGGTGGGACAAGTTTAAACTTGGGACTTTGCATTTGCAAAGCAGTCACTCTACCACTTGAGCCACACCTCCAGTAGATTTTGCTGTAGTTGTTTTGGAGATGGAGTTTTGTGAACTATTTACCTGGGCTGGCCAGATCTCAGCTTCCTGAGTAGCTAGAATTACAGGCATGAGTCTTTTTTTTTCCAACAAGCATATTTTTATTTTGGATTAAACAACAGATTTAAAGCCAGGCGCCAGTGGCTCACACATAATCCTGGCTACCTAGGAAGCAGAGGTCAATTCTTTGTTTTTTAGGATTGCAGTTCTAAGCCAGCCCAGATGAATAGCCCAGGCGAATAGTTCAAGAGACCAAGTGACTCAAGTGGTAGAGCACTTGCCTAGCAAGCGTGAGGCCAAGTTCAAACCCTAGTATCACCAATTAAAAAAAAAAAAAAAAAGATTTGGGTTCAGTATAGAAGATTTAATGAGTCCCCAAATTATGACAGTCATAATGGAAAACTGAGAGGGATGAAGAAAAAAATGGAAGTGTGATATTTTAATCAAAAAGATGGTCGAGGTACTTCAAAGTAAAAAAAAAGTCCATTAGAAAATGTTGTGGGTTAATAGATTTCAGCTGATAAAATTGCCTCTTGCAGGGCTGATGGAGTGGCTCAAACGGTAGAGTGCCTGCCTAGCAAGTGCAAAACCCTGAATTCAGTCCCACATACCACCACACCAATCAAAAAAAGAAAATTGCCTCTTATAGACACTGTCAAGTCACATTCTACCTGGAGAATAAGTTGTGATTGTCTTAAGTACCACCCAGAAAAATCATTCTCTGTTTAATAAATGGTAATGCAAATCCTTAGTATAGATGGTGTTTTGTTTTTGGGTTTTATTTTGGGTGGTTCTGGGGTTTGAATTCAGAGCCTCATCTTGCTAGGCAGGTGCTCTACCACTCAAGCCATGCCTCCAGCCATTTTTTGATTTTTTAGTTTTTTGACCCAGAGTCTCCCTATGTAATCCACAAATTCTCCTGCCTTACCTTCCCAAGTGCTGGGATTATAGATGTGGAAGTGAGTGGTATTTGTTTTTATTTTGGTAAGACTGGGATTTTTTCTTATAGTACTGGGGATAAACCCAGGGTTTTGTGCATTGCTAGGCAAGCACTCTACCACTTGAGCTATAGTTCCAGCCCATTTTGCTTTGGTTATTTTGGAGATGGGGTCTTGTAAAATATTTGCCACATTGGTCTCCAACGAAGATCCTCCCAATCTCAGCCTCCCAAGTAGCTAGGATTACAAGCATGAGCCACAGTGCCCAGCTGGTATTTGCTTTTACAGAAAGATAAACTTTGTTTCTTATTCTGGCTGTCTGGGCAGGCACCTTATTAACTGGAAAGGCACAGTATCTCAAAATAAAATATTTATTGATTTGGTCTTGACTTATTATTGCGTACACCATTTCACACCCAAAAATCTGACTTTATAAACAAGAATACACTAAAGACGTGTTTTCTCCATTAACATGGGTATTCAGAACAGTTGCTTTTACAATTTTAGAATAAATTAAAATAACAGAGTAGGTTCATTAATCTCAGTGTTCTAAGGCTAAGTATCAAAAACTGCTAATTCATAGAAAGCAACAGCCTGTAGTAGTGAGTCATAAAACTCTTCTATCCGGTATGGTCTGTAGGTAAAAACATCTGTCTGTAGTGCACCATCTTCTCTGGTGGGAAGAACACCCGTGGCTCTGCCTTCAGTACAGATTCGGAGAGGAGCTGCTTCACCAGTTCTTTCCCCTAGTGCGAGTGTCGCCAATCATCAGTTCAAAGTGCTTCCCCACTGCATTTCGATTCATGCTCAGCACCCGGTGCTGGCCGTCCTGAGCAAAAGCTCTATTTAGTAAGGCATACAACATGGCCTCCGTGATGTGAAAATGTAAACAGTATGGGAAACAGAGATGAGTTCTGAATGGAAAGTCCTGTTTTTTTCTAGAACATAGAAATCTGCTTTAGGCATCTT